CCATTCTTGCCCCTCCTCCTTTATGTGCAGCTCTTTGAACAGGCTCCAAAGTGACTGGAAGCAACGCTGTGTGACTGGGAACTTGTTCTCATACCCAAATAATGGCAGTGAGAAGTGGACTGGGGAAGAATAGTTAGCAGAACATGCGAAAGCTCTGTGGAAAGAAGTGCCTGCAAGCCAGTCTTGTTGTTTTCCTGTCCTGAGAAATACTCTGTTTGTGCATGAGGGAGCACCCACTGAGGCAGAAATTGGAGTGCTTTCTGCATGGTGAGTTTGAATTGAGGTGATGTCAGGCACCCGTGGCACATCCTGCCCTCCTCCCTCACTGTTTGCCAGCGGAAAATGCCGGCAGTTGCACATCCAGCAGCCTCGTTGATGCCAGGGAAATTTCATTGGGTGGGCTCTCTTCAGCCTCAGCTTGCATGATAAATGGTTGGAGTGATGGGAGCCAAAAGTCCATTGACATCTGATGGAACACAGTCTCCCCATCCATGCACTCAGTGGAGGAGGATTTGCAGAGGAGAAAAGGGTGTGGGTGTGTGGGTGTTTCTATTCCCTTCTACACTTACAAGATGCTGCTGTAGAGCTTGGCACTAGCATGGTCAGTGCTAGTGCCCAAGATCCAGGAATTCAGAGTGGTGCTCATTCTCAAGTACCAATGGGGGGAAAGGCCTACCTTGGAGGGGTGTTATGAGGCTGAAGGTATATTGCTGAGCAGAGCTCTAGGGAACATTTTTAGCAACAAGGCTTCAAGAATGAAGAAATCTAGTCATTTGGACTACATGTGTCTAGCTTCATTGCCTGTCTTACCTCCCTCCATATCCCGCCTTTGTTTTAGTGTGATCTGTTACTGGGAGGGTTCTTTGTGAGGCCTCCATAATAGATCAAGGAAAAGCATAAAAATGTATATATTGCTCTGCTTCCCCTGGAAGTGCTGAACCATCTGAATGGTGGGTAGCATTCCTGGCAACTGTGAAATGCTTAGGGAATAATAGACCTTAAAGGCAGGAGCCTAAAGACTCTCCAGTGGTTCATTTTGAGCTCTAAAATTGTACCCTTGCGCTATCAGAACAATACAAACGGCATGAGAGGGTGGGCTAAGTCACACCCTACGAGGAGAAGTAACCACCACGACCTCTTTCGTTACTAGCAAATCTGAGGGTGTGCTTGCAGGGCCTTGGATCATTCTTGATGCAAATATGGCAAGGGTCATGTGGTTGCAAGTCTAGCTCAAACAAAAACACAATGAAAATCTGCCTTATACATGAAGATATTTGGGCGTCGAAGCCTCTGGCCATGATTAGCTGAGAGACCGCTGATGTCACAGAGGAGACAGGCCAAGATCCTCTGGCACAGCTGACCAGACCATAAGCATTGCTGACCCTTAGCCCCGCTGGCTGGGAGAGATGGGAGTTGCCAGCCCTCAGTATCTGGAGCTGTTGGGGGACGGCTCTCCCAGAGCAAAAGCGACTTACGCAGCAGGCCAAGTGGCTTGAGCAGCTGGGAGGAGGCTGGAGCAGCCGAGGAGAAAGAGAAAGGCCAAGAGCTGCAGATGTGATTATTAGACTATGGGCCTGCAGGTTACTTCGGTTCTGTCTAAATAAACAGTCAGGAACATCTTGTAACCGAGGCTAGCATCACAAGTTCCACTTTTGCTTTAGTGAAGTTGATTGCTCCCTAAATGGCAGTGCGTTCCCCAGCAACCCAGCAGTGGCCACCTGGGGGTCAGATGTGCATTAGAAAAAAACTCTTGGAACTGCCCTGGAATCCCATTAAGCTCTATCTCTGCTTCTTGCTTCACCAGCAGCTTTCCCCTTCCTTCCCAGCGCCCATGGCATAACCTTGGCACAAAAGAGAATGCCTCCTGCCTCTCTCTCTCCCCCCGCCACCCATTTTGGATGCTTCTTTGATCTTAACTGCAGGCAGAGCTCCTCCTTGCATGATAATAACAGGGTGGGGAACCTGTATGGCCCTCCAGAGGTGGCTGGGCTCCCATCAGCCTGGACCACTGGCCACGTTGGGAGTCCTGCTGGAGGGCCACGGACCCTCCCCGACCCTGAGTTGGCCATTTCAGATGGAGTCGTCCGGCGGAAGCTTCCACATTACCTTTCCCGCTCATGGTACTTCCCTTTTTAATTATCTTTCTTTTACTCCCACCACCACCTTAGGAATCGATAAGGAGAACGTGGAGCTCTCCCCGACCACAGCACACTCCAGCAGTGGGAGGACGCGCCACGGCTCCGCCAGCCAGGTGCAGAAGCAGCGCAGCACTGGCAGCTTCAAGCGCCACAGCATCAAAAAGATTGTCTGAAGCCTTCTCCTTTCCCCTTTGTTTTTCCTTCCTTCCATCCTTGGTTTTCTAATGTGGCGTAAGTACTTCCTGCCCCACCTCCACAAGTGGTCATGCTGCACTTAATTTCAAACCCTCCTGCCCACTCGCCCTGTCAGCCGTGGTGCCAGACGATCAACTCTTGAAACATTTTGTCTGAATTTATTTTGGATTTTCATTTCTGTTTTTTGCCGCCATTTTTAAAAAAAAACAGCAGCAACAGCAGCAGCAGCAACAACAACTCTTCTTTCTTTTTCTTGTTTTTAAGCTGGTAATAGCCAAACTGTGATGAACAGAACCACTTTTAAGAATCTGAAGAAAGCAGGGAAATGACCGTAGGTTGTGTCGAAAGGCAGAAATCATGTCTCTCGCATTTCAGACACGTTTTTGTTACCTTATTTGGGGGGAGCTTGTTTGTTTCTTTATGGCTTGTTTTGTATCTAAAGGGGGGGAGTGTTAATATTCAATCCTGTTTGCACATTAGAGGTTTTGATGGCCAGTGGACACAGTCAGTATCCTGGTTTCCATCCCACATCCCTGTAGCTGTGGACATCCTTTTCCTGAGCTTAAATGGCCTCTGAGCACAAGTACAGTGCAATGAGTTTAACCAAGGGGTGAGAGTTTTTGCCCTGTCAAGGTGTATCTTTATTTAATGATCTACGCATTTCAGAGTGCAGGGTGTCTCTCTTGATACTCCAGAAAACAGCCTCCTGGGGGCACATGAACCAGACTGGAAGAAGCTGGCTGTATTTGTCGAGTTTTCCTTTGGTGAATTTAGACTGCTTTCATATATATATATATATATATATATATATATATATATATATATATATATATATGTTTTAAAAAATAGATCAGCAGCACTTCCATCTTGGGAGAGAGAGAGAGAGGAGGAATGCATGCATCTGTGGGGAGGGGCACTTTATTGTAGAGTTGGAAGGGCCCACAAGCGTCATCCATTCCAACCCCTTGCAATTCAGGAATATTTTGCCCGATGTGGGGCTCAAACCTACGACCCTGAGATTAAGAGTCTCATACTCTACCGACTGAGCTATCCTAGCTATTTCAATGTTCCGTCCCACTCCACAGCATGGCTAGGGTGAATGTTGTGATTGTGTGGGCCTTTCCTGCTCATTTGCCCTACCCAGCTGAGGTTCTGTGTGGACTTGATTCATTCCACAGCATCTCCTGCGTGGAAGCTCCACTGCAGCCATTTGTGTTTGTGTCATCTTGGGCTGTCACTCCCACAAAGATTGTTACTGCCACTTCTCATGTGATAACTCTCTCCCACCTTCCTTGCACCACATTGACATAACTCATTGATGTTCCCAGTTAAGGAAAGGTACCACTAACAATTCCCAAGCTCCCTAGACTTTTATTTGGCTCTTACCCCCTTTTCCAAAATATCCACATTGCTCCTACTCAAAGTTTTACTTACTTTTAAAGGAGCAACTGCTGCTCTCAAACCCACAGTGGCCCAAATATCCTTTTCTGATAGTGTGGATGTTTTGGGTTGTATCCAGCTTTAGCCGTACTTAGAGCAGACCTATTGAAATTAATGGGCGAGGCTAACAGATTTTAATTCCGTTGGGTCTACTCTTGAGTAGAATGTAGTTGGATTCAAGGCATACTCTCAAACTTTGCCCAGAGGGCTTATTTTAAAAAAGCTTTAATTGGCCAGTAATCCTTGCCAACAGAAGCATGTTTCAACTTTAGGAACCACAGATTGAAACAGCTTTCAGCCACCATGAAAGGCCTTGTCAAAATGCTATAGCGGCAATAGGTGTCTCTTCTGAAAAACCCATGTGGAATAAGGGCTGAGTTGTTGGGCTAGGATCAGAGAGATGGGGATTGAAATTCCCACTCTTCCATGAAACTCGCTGGGTGACCCTTGACCCCCCCTCTCTCCCTCTCCCCCCCCCCTCTCTCTCTCATAGCCTAACCGTACTTCATAGGCAGTATTGTGAGGCTATATTAATAGGGGGAAAACATGTATGCTGATTGGGGAGAATGGATGGGCCAAAGTCAGGCACTGAACTTTGTGGCCGAGTTGGGGTTTTGAATCTGGGTCTCTCTGGTTCTTGTCTGACACTCAGCCACTAGACTCCTGTGACTCTGTGTTGAGATTACCAGAGTCCCCAGCAGCAACATGGATGATGAACGTGCTGCTTTGACTGGCTGTCCAAAAGTGTGCAGCTTGCCTAGATTTTGGAAGCACAAATTCTCAACTTCTAAAAAAGCATGTCAGTCAGAAATGAAATGAAATGAAATGAAATGAAATGAAATGTATGTCTTGCCGACATAATTGGTTATTCAGTGGCTTCAAAGGGAATAATATACATACAATTGAAACTGTACAGTGAAATTTTAATGCTGACTTTAGGTAAATCAAATTCCACAGCATTAGACAGAGGATGCAAATGAATGGTCCATTAACAAGCTATTAACATTCATTTAAAATGTCATGGGTTTTATGTGTATAAAACAACTGCTTTTGGTGTATTGATTCAGAGAGGAACTATTTTATTTTGTTCCACTCCTGGAACACAGTCTTAAGGTGCCAACAACAGTCTGCCAAACCAAGAAAAGTTTTGTTGGGGTTTTTTGAGGTAGAGAAAGGAAACACTCTCTTGATCATGTTGGAATTTCAGCTGAAAGAGATTTGAATCAAATGGGAAGGGTTAAAGTAGGATCGATGAAACTGTCGCAGGTTAGACTCCTTAAGGTTTCTTCCCAGTTCTGTGGTCAGAGGAAAGACTGCCTATTGTACCAGGTCACACCTGAATTGGGAGCTTTCCTGTTCTCATTGCAGTGTGTTGGAGTGTCAGATCATAAGTCTGGGAGAAAAATAGCACAATGTAGTCCTCAAGAGTCCTGTGCTGTGCTAACATCTCTCACTGGGCCATGTGTAGACGTTGCACCCCCAAGCCAAGGTCAGGAGATGTGCAGCTTGTGGTGCCAGAGGACTGGACGAGGTGGGTGAACCCTTTGGCTTCCCAAAGGGAGCCCTGCGCAGAAGCCCCTTTAATCCTTTCCCCCCTCTGATGTATTCCTTTGTCTCCATCGCATACCTTGAGGGCTCACCCAAAGCTTGAGCCAGTAGGACCTCTCATGGCAGATGTGACAGAAACAGGGAGTGGCGGAGTGTAAGCTCTGAATAGGCACAGCTAATTCTCTGCCCAGAGGATCACAGCCCGCCAGCCCATTCACAGCGATGGTCAGAATTCCAAGCACAACCACCAGGTTTCCTTATGATAACGCCCCTGTTTTAGGCGTGTGGCAGCTGGGGTTTGCACAGGCAGTCACTGTGAACAGCCGAGAGAACTCTTGAGGGCAGGGGGATACAGGGGAGGAGGAGGAGAAGCATTAACAGCAGTTTAGTAGGTCTGGATGTAGCCTCTAGGCTGCGTCATCAAATCATGGGTTTGGCAAAACAGGCCAGCGAACCCAAAGTGGGGTTGGCAAGGGAAGTAATTTCCTTCTCTCTCTCTCTCTTCTCCCACCAGCCTGCCAAACATCAGAATCTCCAGACAATCTGACTTTCCTGGTTTCTAAAATTAGGCTGTATTATGTAAGCACTCAGTTTTAGAACTTCCTTCAGCTATATTACTTTCAAGAGGTACAAATCAAGAGAGTTGGAGTGAGGTCACTCTAGCCCCGCACCCCACCATTTTTACTCTCAGTTTTGACACTGCTTTTTCTTGCTGCCAACATGAATCTTCCCTGGAGGAGGGAGGCTAGTGGGATATTTTCAGATGGGTGTTCGGCACCCTTCTCAAAGTTAGCCTTTAAAAAGGGGGGTAGGAATTGTTCAAATTCTAGAGAAACTGGTAAATTATGCACTCAAGGAATTGAACTAGAGCCCACATTGTCAGGTGCATAAAGTGTCGTCTTCACAACACATATATTTACATTATATGTGCCAGTTGATGCACCAGTGAAGTCAGCTTTAGTCCATGAAAGCTGATGTATGTTAAAAGCCTGTAAGAAGCTACATGCACAATTCGAGGTTATTTGGATGTAGTAATCGGCATGGGTCAGTTGGCCAAAGACCACGGGGACCTAGTACTGTACACAGTGATAGTAAGTGAATCTGTTGCGTTCTTCGGCCATCCAAACTATGCATATTTCGAAAGAAATCAGACTCTGCACCCTGGAGAGAAACCACTACAGGGCAGCAGAAACTCATTTGGGCAGACTTCCTAGAATCAAAAAGATAGAAAAGCTTACTTTACAAGATGTGCTTTAGCAGAGCTGATTTCTGGACTGAGGTGTCTTAACGGGATAAGGGAGCAGCAATTCAGAGATGCTTCTTTCCAATGCAGAGAAGGTGGGTGCAGAGGGTGGCTTTGATGGCTTTGTCCCTGAACAAAACCCATTCAGTGGCTGATTTGCTCAGTGCCTTAAGTGTTTCTCTCATCCACTTGGTGAAAAATGTCCTCTCCTTAGCCACTGCAGCTGATTTGCCCTTCCACCAACTGTTGCTGTCTTCACCCTTTCTTTTTCGGATATCGGCTACACAACCCAGTGAACGATTCCGTGCTGTTGCTTTAAAAGAACACCTTCTCGCGGTTAGGTCCTGGGCCATTGGGGGCCATCTCATGTTCTCCAGGCCCAGAAAGCAGCAGAATACACTTCCCTGCTCTGGAGGCTGTGCTGCTTGCTGAGCTGCTTGTGGGTTGGTGGCATCCATGTGCCTTTAAAACAAAGTAGATCCATGAATAAATTCCTGCGTTAGCATGTTTAGACAAGAGAGGGACCTCTGGGAGTGTTTTCCTTTGCTTCTTTTTATTTTAATGGAACACAGGAAAGAGGTTCTCAACCAGAGGTGCCCCAGCAGGCTTTGGCAGAGGGCTAGCAATTTGATTGTTGTGTTTAAATTTGAACCTTCTCCTAGAGGATTTCAATATCATGTCGAGAACCAAGTAACTTTGACCTGCAGCGTGAGGTTGCTGCAGGCTGTGCAGCAGGGGCTATTCACCTGTGGCCCCGCAGATGTCACTGGGCTTAGCGCTCCTACTGTCCCTGACCATTGCCCATGCTGGCTGGGGCTGAAGGGGAAGGTGGAGTGCAGTGGCGTCTGCAGGGTCAACCTTTCCCCACTCTCACACTAAATAAAAGGAAACCAGTTTGACACTCCTCGTTTTCAAGCACGGGCTCCATGTGCACTATTAAGTACTGTAAAGTTGTTTTGCGTTGTTCTCTTTTTGTATTTTTTAAAATCTTTCCCCCAATTTTGAAGTTTAAGCCTGATGCATTTTCCTTGCGCGTAAAGAAGAATCCCTGTTAAATTCGCCAGTCTGTTACGCTTCCATTCGCATGCACTTGTTTTCGATAACCAAGAAACATTTCAAAGTCAACGTTTTACGGGACTGAGCACTGAAGATTGTGGCTGGTGCTCTTTTCCTGATGGGTTTGTGGGGTTTTAGGGCTTCTTCTCCCCCTTCCTCCTGCTTTGTTTCTAGTTTTAATTTCCCCCACGATGTATTAAAGCACGTCTTAATGTTATGCAAGAGACTCTTATCCACAGAAGTCACTTTTTTTGCATTGGCCACACACTTTTTTTTAATGCAGTATATTCACCCTGTAAATAGTTTTGTGTAAAATTTGACAGAAAAAAGTATATTTACTACACTGTAAATACATGTGACAATATATTGTATTATTTTGCTTTTTTGTAAAGCAGTTAGTTGCTGTACATGTATAACATAATGACATTTGAATATCTTTTAGTGTTTAGTAACTGTTAACGTGCTTCTTTCCCCCCCTGCTGTTGCGTTCTGTCATTGAAAGGAAGTGATGCTGTGTACTATAAACCTAACGCCATGTATTATAGAACTTGCTACTTCCCGTTGGGGCCTCAACCTTGAAGACTGGTTCCCTCTCCTCCTCTGTCTACAATCCTGTTAATATTTGTAAGTGCTTGTGCAAGGCGTTGGGCGTGAGCTCCGCAGACTTGCACACTTATGGGTGGGTAATTGGAGGTATATATATAAATATATAAATATATATTAAAATTAAAATAAACCTGTAGAGATCATGGTTTCAAGCAATTGTTGTTTACCCCCCACTTTCCCTCATGTATGTACTTCCCTTTTTTTGAAGTAAAAAATGTAAATTCAACCTGCTTTTGACTTGTTGGAGTAATTATTTGCTTGTGCGTCTTTAATGATTCTATTTTCAACATTTTCAACATTTGATTTCGGTCATGGCTTAGTCCTGAATCTAATCTGTAAAGGCTTCACCTGGGGTGTGTGAAATACTAATGGCAGAGCAGCCATTTCCCAAAAGCAATTGATCACATCTCAGAATTAGAGGCTATCTGTATACCAGGATGCCTCAAAGCTGTAGAAAAAGTACAGAATATGGGTTGGGTGTGTCGTTGAAAATCTACTCAATATGATCCAGAGTAGATTCCAATGTATAGTTAGCAGAGTAAAAACTTGCACATGTTGCAGGATTCCCAAAAATAGACCAGAGGCAATATTTCATCCAGCAGAGCTTTACTGCTACTGAAGGCAAATGAACATAATGGTCACAAATCCAATACATTCAGAACTGGCACTGTCCATGAATAATCCAGTTACAGCAGACTTAACCTTACACTTACAATAACTTATAATAAATCTAAAACCTTAGCACTATGCTTACTTTGTACAGAACACCACAAAGAGGGAAAAGAGATAAAAAAAGAGAAAGTGAAATTCAGGCTCATTCTGGCCCTACTTTTATAGTCAGTATAACCTTGATTGAAAGAGATAAGAGAACCAGTTCAAACCAGCTGTACTTAGCTTCTCTGAAAGTATAACCCAAACAATCATGAACCTTCTGCTTGTTTCTCACACAGATAAGCTTCTAGAACCCTCCCGAATTAAGTAGAATAGGAAAAATCTCTACACATCAGATCAATACTTTCTGCACTAAGAAATGCAAACTGACAGGATGCACAGTCCAGGTTTCAACGATTCTGAGTTTTTCTTTATGCTCTTCAAAGTTTCTAACCCTTATGAGCGGCAAAGACAGCTTTGAAAGGTGGATGGGTCAGTGTATGGGATAATCTCAGAAGCCAAAGGAAGTAGGCGGGAATAAAATGTCAAAGGTTAAGGGCTTCTTCCCCTCCCCTTTGGATTAGCAAAACCAAAATGAATCATTCAAAGCAGTGAATGTTTCAGAGTAAATTATGTACAGTACTCTGGTTGGAGACTTCATGTGCTTTTGCTTACATGGCACAGAACATGGCCAATCGTTTTTTTTAAATAACCACTCCCCAAAAGGGGCTTCCAAAAGAGGCTTCTATGTGGCCTTGAGCTGAGTGCCTTACACGAATGACTTCTGCTTCACACTTTATAGTACTTTTCATAAAACTGAAATGCTGGTGGTCATGCTCTTAACACTTAGTTCCTGCCCAACTTTGCCAAGTGTTCTTGATTGGCAATGGATCTCCAAAGCCTCAGATGAAAGCTACCTAACTTTTTTTCTAACGTGGAGGAACCAGGAACTGAGCTTGGGACCTTGTGCATCCACAGTATGAAATTCCAGGTAGCAGAAAATTTCTCCCATGGTTCCCTCTCTCCTCCCCTCCCAGTTCTGCCATTGGTTTATGAGGGGGGAAATTGCATTTGAAAATTATCAGAGGGGTGGATTGAGTTATGGGTGAGGTGCAGGTGGCTACAAGGTGTCCTTTTATTCTACAAATCCATCTCAGTACAGTGGTACCTCAGGTTACATACGCTTCAGCTTACAGACTCTGCTAACCCAGAAATATTACCTTGGGTTAAGAACTTTGCTTCAGGATAAGAACAGAAATTGTGCAGCTGTGGCGCAGCAGCAGGAGGCCCTATTAGCTAAAGTGGTGCTTCAGGTTAAAAACAGTTTCAGGTTAAGAACAGACCTCTAGAACGAATTAAGTTCTTAACCTGAGGTACCACTGTACTGCAGCCTTCTTGTGTGCTCAGGCTTCAGTTAAAGTCCAGGAAAAGACGTCCCAAGACAACTCATGTGAAACTGACGGACAGCAGAGCCAGAGCACAGTCTGGGGATGCAGTGCCTCAGAATTCCACCAGGGGGCTGGGACCTCTCTCTGATTAACTAACTACCAAGACAGCTAACCAGAAGGGGGTGGAGCCAGCACTTTCGGAGGGAAAATAAAAGGAGCCATTTCTGAGAGAATGTTCAGATAGGGTTTAGTTTGAGAGGGGAGAGAGTTGGTTCTGGGTTGAAACAGCCACTCTTGAGAAACATATCCAAAGCTAGAGAAAGGAGTCTCTGAGCTTAGTGTGAAGGACGGTGTGTGGTATTAGGCCAGGAGTTAACTGGGAGGCTGAGCCAGAAGAAGTAGAAGCTAAAAGGATACAGTCTACTTAGGTCTCGTTCTAGTCAGGAGGGGAGAGATTCTTCTAGAAAGAGAAGACTCCCAAATCAGTTAAGAGGGGTGTGGTGATCCCCTGGGTCTGTTACTTGGAGTACCTCGGGAGTGGGGTTGTCAAAGGGCTGGGTAACTGACAGAAAGTACCACCTTGTTTAAGAACCAAAGTATTAAGCTGCAACACCTGTTCAACAACTGAGTTAAAGAACTGAAGTGAAATAACTGGAAATAAGCTGAGCATTTGCCATCTAGTCTAGAAACATCTACCTGAAGTGAAGTAACTGAACATAAGCAACTGAAGTTTAAAAGAAGCTGCGCTTGATTAAAAGCCCGTAACATCCGTTAGATTCAGTATAAATACTATTAGGTGAACGGTTTCCTGAAATAGCATTACGGTATATCCTGATGTATCCTTTGTTTTATCCACGTTGTTCTGTTAAACAAATCTTTCTTACTTGTTCCAACTTCTGCATTAGTCTCCCAAGTACCAAAGTTTTCCCTCACACAAAATCCAAAAAGATAACCTGTGGTGGTTATTATAGAGTGTGTGTGCAGTTTGGATCTGCTGCAATTGGTATATAAGCGGTGGGATCTGTTATAGAAGCTTTTTCAAATCAGAGGTGCTGCAGAGCTCAGGAAAGTTTACTGAGGGAGAAAGCAACACACGTCCCTCACCCACCTTGCAATAAATTTCAGAACGCCATGCCCTGCCAATTCTGAAGTGCCCTGAGGATGAAGGAGGAAAATGGAAAATGCCTTTTGTGGGAGAAAGTGTTTGAGAACCTGCTGGACAGAGTTTGGCACAGCTCTAATTCTGAGCGAGGTAGAAATTTGGGAGCCGGACTGTGCAAGTTAAACACAAGCAGTCCTGGAGCTCCCTCTGCTGACTACCAGATATCATTTCCACCTCACCCAGCAGGTGAGGGTGCCATTCCCTCACAGAGAGAAGCATTCACCACCCCACGAAGCCCATCGCCCAGCCCTTCCCGGCAATAATAATAATAATAATAATAATAATTCATTATTTATACCCCGCCCATCTGGCTGGGCTTCCCCAGCCTCTCTGGGCTGCTTCCAAAAAAATATTAAAATACTGTAATACATCAAACATTAAAAGCTTCCCTAGATTTTATAAGCCAGGATGGGCAAGGATCAATGGACAGGAAAGTGTCCATAGGTTTTGCAGCTTAAATGTTGAGTTCAATGGTTCAACATCGATACATATCAGATACAGTGCAGGGTTAGCAAAATAATTACAACCCCAGGGCTGGAGGCAGGGAGAGACGCAATATACATGCATACAGATTTTGTCTTTTTAACTAGGAGAATAACAAAACCCACAGTCAAAAAGAGCCTTAAAATGCAGACAACTTAGACTCATCACTCCTTTAACAAATTTTGATGCCCTCAGGGATGACCTATTTTTTTCTGTAGTCTTAAGGTTGCAGTCTTCAACTAGGATTTAAACATGAAATTAATCTAAGTTCCCCAAGTGTAAAGAAAGCACCTGAGAGATAAATCAGGATTTGTATCACATGAAAATTGCAGTCCTGAACAATGGTTGCAAACCTTCCCCCCACCCTACCCTCCATGGACCACTTGAAAATTGCTGATGGCCATGTTGGACCACTTAGTGATTTTTCTGCCTGCTGTAGCAATTGTAATATGCTGTATTGCAATTCCTTCCTTTAATTTTATTATATTACAATCTGAATTCCATATAATTCAAACTGTGAGATGATAGAATGCAATATAAGAAATCTATCTTGTCCTTACCAACCAGATGCCCCAGTGGGAAGTCTGCAAGCAAGACCTGAGAGCAAGCCTTCTACATTTATTTATTTGAACAAATCATATACTTGCAGGACATCTTCAGGAGAAGAAACGGCTAAGAAGTAAACCCTACACGAATCTGGAGCAGAGTCCCTAAGACGGTTGGATGGCACCTTATATACCTCCTTCCTGCAACTCCTGCAGCCAATCTGGTGCCAAATATCTTGCTCAGTGGTTAGAACATCTACTTTGCATGCAGAAGGTCCCGGGTTCCATCCCTGGCAGTTCCAAGTAGGGTTGGGCAATGCTTTTATTCTAGAAAAAAAGGTGCCTGTGCTCACCATGAAGTTGTTTCAGTAAGTGCCATACCTTCTACCAGTGCTTTTCTTATTGGGGGGAAAAGGTGTCTGTACTGCGTACTCTTGAGTACCCCCAGGGGGGGAAAGCACTAGGGTTGGGAAAGACTCCTACCTGGAATCCTGGAGAGCCATTGCTCCCAGTCTGTGCAGACAATGCTGAAATAGATGGACCAATAGAATGAGTCAACTTTTGCAATACCTCAAGGACCACCTCTCTCTATATGAACCTATCCAGACTCTGGGATCATCTTCTGAGACCCTTCTTTGTGTGCTCCCTCCACGATAGATGTGGAGGCTGGCAACACAATAATTGGCATTTTCAGTGGTGACTCGCTGTGGAATGCTCTCCCTCAGGAGTTTGGCTGGAGTCTTCATTATACATCTTTAGGCACCAGGCGAAAACGTTCTTCTTTAACTAAGCCTTTGGCTGATTGACATCGAAGGGCCTTTTAAAGTGTGTTGTGGAAGGTGGATTTTTGGGTTGTCTTTGTTTTCATTTTCATTTTTATTATGTATTTTGTGTTTTTTATATTGTGATTTTCATGTTCCACCCTGAGAGCTACAAGTATAGGGCGGTATACAAATTTAAATAATAATACAAATTAATAGGTCTCTCATTAACCCCACCCAGCATGGCCAGTGGTCAGGAATGCTGGGAATTCCTACCCAACAATGCTCAAAGGGCCACAGATTTCCCAGCCGTACCAGGGAGCATTCTTATTCAAAACAGGGCCACACTTTATAGATGTTGAGCGGGTGTAGGTAGGTTCAGCTGGTTTGTCAGGCAGTGAATCCCATGCCCTGCGGGATAAGCTTCTCTGGCTGTGCAAGAGAGTTACCTCCTGCCTTTTCTGCTGTGGCCTGTTTCAGCAGGCAAGATTGCTGGTTTTGTCTTCCAAAAAGGCCTGAGATGGAAGGTTGCTGACTTAAAAATAATAATAAATAAATCAAGGGTGTGTGCCAGTGTTATGGAAAGAAGGCAGGAGAGCACATGATATAAGAACACTCATTTTGAAATATTAAGTACAATTTGTGGCACAGACAGGAGCATTTGCTGTGATGGTTTAGGTCAGGGGTCAGCAAACTTTTTCAGCAGGGGGCCGGTCCACTGTCCCTCAGACCTTGTGGGGGGCCAGACTATAATTTTTTGGGGGGGGGGAGTGAACTAATTCCTATGCCCCACAAATAACCCAGGGATGCATTTTAAATAAAAGCACACATTCTACTCATGTAAAAACACGCTGATTCCCAGACTGTTCGCAGGCCGGATTTAGAAGGCAATTGGGCTGGATCCGGCCCCCAGGCCTTAGTTTGCCTACCCATGGTTTAGGTCACATTTTTAGTGATCTGAGACAGGTTGAGTCAATTCCAAATTTGTGGACTTATTAAGAGAGATCAGAGTTCCTCCACCCCAAAAAAATTAATTTACAGTAGGCTTTCTTCTGATGTCAGAGTCACAAAATCACCAATTATGCAAAATGGAAGATCAAGCCCTGTGTTGCTTTGGGTACAATCCTATAGGGAACCTCCTATTGAATGTTCTGGTGGGAATCATAAGTGAGATACCCACGGAGTAGAATTTGCTCCCAGTATCAGCTGCCATGTAGAAGTAGACAAATGTTAAGATAGTTTACTGTTGTAGAAGATAAGGCTCAGCAAAACAATTCTGGATGTAGATATGTACAGCTTGTAGGCTTTTGAAAACCCAGATATAAACAGATACACACAAGTACAAAGTATCTCTGCTGCTCTAAATAAATTCAGCAATTCAAGACACAACATTGGACTAACAGACAGGCTCCAGACTAACAGACTATTTTGCTGACGTGCATTAATCACAGATACAGTTGGGGTACTGGGCTGTTACCATAGCAACCGTCTTGGATGACCTTGCACCTGTGATTAGCTCATTCATGGGATGATTTATGCTCATGAAGGAAATTAACCCTTTCTCATGTCCAGTTACTCCAGCATGCTCTACCAAGGGAGGTTCCACCTGTATTCCAGTTGACTGACTACCGCTTCGTAGGGTGCGATCAACTTGTATGCATTGTGTGGTGATCATGTCAAGAGAGTGGTTTTTATTAATAATTTTGTATTTTACTGATGTGGTCATTAGAATGGAATGCTTTATTGTGTTGCATATGGTTGAATTTTTATATGCCTTTATTATTATATTGTAGATTGCCTAGAGATGACCAGTATTAGATGATCAAGGTAAGATAGAGCCATAATTTGGTAGCTACATTTAGTCAACCAACCAACCAACCACTTGATTGTTCTGTCCAAAGACCATGACAGGTTGCATGTAATCTCAATAGTGCCACTACACAATGCAGAGCTTTTGGTGTCTCTGAAAAACAACCATACCCAAATCTCCACCCTCTGTTGGCCCACCCACATGTCTCCCTGATACTTCTTAGAATTCTTCTTTGTTATATTCTGTTGCCCATTCTGCCTGCTCATTGAGAAGAGCCAATGCCTATTGGAAAGCCTTAGTCATGCATATGGGTAAAAAAAGCAGAGGATTAGTTGGGAACATTTGCAGCCCTCCAGAGGTTGTTGGACGCCAACATGGACTCAGGGATGTGGGGAGTTATAGTCCTGCAACATCCCTCATCCCTGATTTAAGACCAAAGGAAAATCAACAGGGTTAAAATAAGGAGAGACTATGTCTCAGAGGTGGGGTGCATGCCTTGCAGGCAGAAGATCCCACATTCATTCCCTAGTATCTCCAGTTAAAAGAATCAGATACTACATATTGGAGAAAGCCTCATGTCTTCTTGAAACCGTAGAGGGACCAGTTTGTATGCCTAATTCATTTACTCTATGATTGCCTATCTTCTGAAGATTTAAATGCAAAGAAAGTGTGTGTTCTTTTGGTTAAAGATAAACTAAGGGAGGAACATAATTGCCCAGCCATGTCAGTAGTTGAAAGCTTGCCCCAGAAGCGGCAGTGTGCACATTGGCAGGCTCCATGGTGCCTTAATCTTCACGCACATTCATTGACCCTAGGGATTATGCACCCACTCTCCAGAGCAGAGCAGTGGCCCTCCATAGGTTGCTGAAATACTGCTGGCTGGGACTGATGCAGTCCAACCATGTCTGGAGGACCACAGGTTCTACATTGCTGCTCCATGGGCCCTGTGAACGGGAGCTGGTCCCTGACAAAGGACAATGGGGAAGGATACAACCCCAGTGAAAAAGCACAGAGTTTGCATGCAGAAAGTTTCACATCCAATGCCTAGTGTCTCTAGTTTAAGAAAACCAGGAAGCAGATGATGGAATAATCCATGTCTGCAATCCTGGAGAGCCGCTGCCAGTCAGAGTAGACAATACTGAACTAGGTGGATGATAGGCAGTGCTTCCTGTGTTCTTATTCCTCTCTCACACGCTATGAAAAGAGTATCCCTGGGAACGTGCAGAGTGCATTTCTCCCACTGAGTCCCTGCAGCTGACTCTTCTCCCGTCCTCTCCCACTTACACACAGCTGGAATCAGCTCCTCTGCTATATTGGTTGGAGCATCAACTACCACACCCCTCACCCCCAAATCAAGTGCAAATATATTTCATTAGGAAATAAGTTGACAAGACCTGCTCAAGCGCTGAAAGGAAACCTACCGTAACCCAGATCCTAGTGGCTTCTGCTGAACAAACCCACCTCATAAAAAGAGTGGGGTTGGTGGAACTTGAATTTGTGTGCATATTTCCCTGGCACAAAGGGCAACAGCTGGGCACAGCAGGAGTTTCATTCTCAGACAAATAATCCATCTGACCTGCTTTTTGCTCTCTGTTCTCACTCTTAGAAACCACACTCCGGCTTCGATTCTGCTATAGCAGTGGGTTTGGGGTCACCTGGTGCATCCCTTCAAAGCATTTAAATGACGAAATCAGCAGCCATGCACTCTGGGCTTTTGAAGATTGATAGTGCCAGGTGAGCAATCTTTCCCAGCAATGGGCAATCCACAAGAATGAATGAATGAATCTTTATTTACGTCAGCCATCGGCTATAGCAATAAAACAACAATAAAATATACAGTGGTACCTCGGGTTAAGTACTTAATTCGTTCCGGAGGTCTGTTCTTAACCTGAAACTGTTCTTAACCTGAAGCACCACTTTAGCTAATGGGGCCTCCTGCTGCTGCTGTGCCGCCGGAGCCCGATTTCTGTTCTTATCCTGAAGCAAAGTTCTTAACCTGAAGCACTATTTCTGGGTTAGCGGAGTGTGTAACCTGAAGCGTATGTAATCAGAGGTACCACTGCACAAAGAATAGGGGTTGGGGTGGTGCTCTGCGTGATTGTGATCCCCCTAATATTCTTAAGAATCCTTTGGAGTGTACGGACATTCTTTGGCGAACAGGCAAACCAGGTGGAAAGGGTTCAGGGCAGGGGGAATTTGGAAACCAGAGGGACAGACACTCTGTGGAAGAAGCTTATTTATTTGCATCCCACCTAAAGCCTTGATTTAGCATTTTTGCAGCCTGATCCCAAGCACATTTACTAAGACATGAACCCCAGATTTAAAGAGAGTTATTTGCAAGCTGAGTATGCCTAGGATTGCAGCATTAGCTCTCACAAACGCTCTGTAAAATAGGATAGACTGGCAGTGTTTTGCCCCAAAACCTCCAACAGCCCTGCAAGGGAGGCCAGCTGTGACTTCATAGCTGACAACGGATACTTTTAAGAGAACCCTGAAAACAATAATAATAATTAACTACAAGGCTGACAAAAATATATTTTCAATATCAGTGCTGGAACATTCACCAATCAATAACATTAATAAATTGACAACCTTAAAAATGTCTGCCCAATTACCGTAACTGGGCAGATTTATTTTAAAACTATAATTAATACAAATGTGGGGTAGGCACCATCTCCGTCACGATGCCTCTTGCATCCTCTGTTCTTATTTCTGTGTTATTACACAGAAAGGACTGCTACTCTGAGCTTTTATATTCTACTGATGCAAATGTTTGCATGTTTAATGGATGACTATCACTCCATCAAAATTCTCCTGCATCGTTACTTAGAAGCAAGCCCGTTTTCGGGGCCTGATCCCAAGCAAGGGTGCCTGATGGTGCGATCTATGCACGTTTACTTGGGCGGTAGGCCTTTTAGGAAAAGTGGGACTTGCTTCAGAGTAAATGCGCACAGAGCCTTACTCTGCAAGGTCTCTTTAAGCGACTGACAGCCTCAACGAGGGTCAAACACACCCTGTCAGAACTAACCCCGCCTCTTATTTCCTTGCATGGGGAGGGAGGGGGCTGTGGGGAGAGAGAGAGAGAAAAAGCATGCTGGGGGTGCGCATGCGCACACTTTGCCCCTTCCCCACGCTCCATGTTCTCGTTCTCTCTTGCCCTCTGACTCACGAGCCCAGTCTGGGGAAGGAGGGGGCGTGGCTTCCCCCTCGCCGTCTCGCGCGAGCTGCGGCCGAGAAGGGGGTAAGCGGGAGGGGCGGGGCGAGCGGGACGTTGAGAGAGCGGTGGGCGGGGCGAGCGGAACGTTGTGTATATCGGTCGAATGTCTCAGCGTTCCGAAAGGCCCGGTCGGGCAGCACGTGGGGGGACGACCGAGGAGCCCGCGGCGGGTGGAGGGGCCGGGCGCGGCGGCAGCGCACGGGGGCTTGGCACCGGCACCGGGGGTGGGACGGCCAGGAGGAGACGGAGGAGGGCGAGCATCACCGGGCGGATCGTGAGTAGCGGCTTTAACTGGAGGGTTAAGGCGCCAGTCCTCATGGGGGAGGGCTTCTTTATGATCAAACACGCGCTTTGCTTTTTGTGGGAAGACAGAGCGGCAGTTCGGGGCCTCCGCTGGATTAAACGAACGGTTGCTCCTTCCCAAGTAGCGATTTTTTAATTGCATTTGTTGGGTGTTTTTTGCCGTTTTCTCTCCCCTCCCTCCCGCAACAACTTCCCGACTCGCCCCTGCAGCTGTGCCCCTTTAAGGGTCTTCTGGTCTGCTGCAGTTAGCAGGTGAGAGAGCGCTCAGCTTCGCCGGCCGGCGGCATTTTGCACCGAGAAGCACCAGGAGCAGGCCTCGGTAACCTCTCCTCCTTCGCCTGCTCCGCGTTGGCGTTTCGCCCACCCAGCCCGTGGCACGTGGTTCGGCCCTTCCTCGTTATGGGCCGCTCTCCACCCCACATGCACTCTCCCACCCACCCTAGATTCGTAAAGCGGCGGCTTCTTAGGGGATCCCTTCGCTCGAGCCCAGGCTGGAGATTAACCCTTGTTAAAGCGCGGCTCTTCCGCGGTGCTCTCGCCGACTTTGTCTTGTGCATTAAACAAAAAGAAAGCGTTTTATAGTGTCCTTCGAAAATTCAGAAAAGTTTTGCACCCGTGATTTTGTTGAACGTGGAGCCACTCCTCCTTGGCCCCAGTGCACTGTCATTAGCCTGCCCTTGGGAGCTCCTCTTTGCGGTGTGGCACTGAAATGTGTATCTTCCTTTTCATGTCTCTGTACTAGCATTTCTGCCCCACCTTGGGGGGGGGGGGATAAGGAGACAAACTGTTCCTTAATTCTCTCCTCTTCTCTGCTCTCTGGGTCCTCCATTCCCCCTTATGAACTTTGAACAGCTAAGCACTATGGCGCTATATCACCTTAAGTAGGAAACCTGGGACCTCTGGTAAGATTCTCCCTCGTTGTTGCAGGTGGTGTTGTGGCTTCTCTGAGCCCTTGGCTTGTGGAAAGTGTTCATGGCTTGGAGGAACAGGTGCTAGGCCTGCCTGGAGTCTGCCAATGAAGACTCACAGGTCTGTGTCACCTCTCTTCTCATCCCGTGAAGATGCCACTGGATTGAGCCTGTGTGATTTGCTCTGGTTGCTGCTTTTAAACTCATAGGCCGAGAAAACATTAGGTGTAGACTCTCTTGTGCACACACACACACACACACACACACACAAAATGCACATGTAGGCAACATGCACACCATACATTTAAAGCATACAGCTTCCTGCAAAGAATCCTGGGAACTGTCGTTTCACCCCTCACAGTTCCTAGTACTCTTAACGAACTGATTGTTTGGGTAAAGCCGTGTGGTTTAAATATACAGTGTGTTTATTTCCCTTGTGTTAAGTTCTGGTACAACAGCATGCTGAGCAAAATCTACTTTTCTGGGTAGCTTTGGTCAAGTTGCCTTTTTCTCCACTATATCTGCAGCCGAGGCCTACCTCACAGGGTTGTTGAGTTGCTCTGTGCTTGTAAGGGAAACCTAGCATTATTGAGTGGCAGGTGGTGTTTGGTGAAGCAAGAGGCTGCTGTTGGCTGTTAACAAGAGGTTTGCATTGTAGGACTTTCACACAATGGGTGAGAGTTTGGATGGCTGTTGAGTTAGGTTAAGATACTTGTTCAGGTGTGAAACTCATTAGCACCCCCCTGCCAAAAAACAACCAAACCCTCTTATGCTGCAAGGAGTAATATGAGTGTCTTACTGAAACAGTGAGGTCCTCTCTGACCTTTACCCCTCCACCCCAAATACAAGACACAGAGCTGGCTTGGGTGTGTTCTGTGAGTGTTTGGCATTTGTTTTGGCTACATGGACTGTGATAATTCCTCTAGAGTAATTGCCACACCTTGTGTCTGCCTTTTCAATTACTTCATGTGCCTTTGCTTTTACACACATACACAGGCAAACACTTTGACAATTATTGGGAAATAATTTGATTGTAAACACATTTTTGTGTGTGTGTGAAAAATTTCTGGTGTAACGCAACTACATGCTCTTGGCCCTGACGTTATTCCAATGGGAGATGGGGCTCTGGCTCAGTGGGTGGAGCTTCTGTTTTGTGTGTAGAAGGTCTCTGGCTCAGACCCCAGAAGCATCTCTAGCTACAGCCAAGAGAAGCTCCCTTCGTGAATCCCTGGAGTGCTCTGCCAGTCAGTGTACACTATACTGAGGTACATGGGCCCAATGGTCTGACTCAGGAGAAGGCCGTTTTCCGTTTTCCCTAAGCAGGTGAATCACCAGTTGGACCGATGTGCTTTTTTGGTACTTTTTAATTTATTGCATTTACATCCCTTCTTTTTCCTCAAGGAGCTCAAGGTGGCCTACATGGTTTCCCCCCTCCTCATTTAATCCCCACACAACCCTGTGAGGCAGGTTAGGCTGAGAGGTAGTGACTGGCCCCCAGGATCACCCAGTGAGCTTAATGGAGATTTGAACCCAGATCCCCCAGGTTCTGCTCTGACACTGTTAAGTAAGTGCTTCCCAAACTTGGGGTCTCTAGCTGTTTTTGAACTACAATTCCCATCATCTCTGACCACTGGCCCTGCTAGCTAAGGACAATGGGAGTTGTAGTCCAAAAACAGCTGGAGACCCAAGTTTGGGAAACACTGCTCTAACCACTAGACTGCAGTTTAATTTGCATTGTGATGCACAAATATGACACCGGCAGATTTGAGAAGAGGGTGCCTTGTGCCTGAGGACATCTTTTAGGATCTGTTGATCTCTCTGTAGTGGTGACCCTGGCCTTTGCCCTTTGACTGTGCCCTCTGTCACCTTCCTGAGTCTGGCAGATGAGGAGGGAGAAGGAAAATAAGTTTCAATGGGACAAGTTCTCCAGCTTCCCTTGTTTGCTTTCATCCTGTCTGAGGTGAGCAAGTTCCTGGTGCCCGGATCCCCAAGCAAGGCCTTTGTAGCAGGCTAGTGAGCTCCCTTGCCTTCTCAGAGGAATTGCCCTACTGGCGCTTCCTGGCGTAAGAGGCTGCTGGAGGTCACCCTCCCTGCACTGCTCTCTCCTTCCCTCCCTGGAGGGGGCTAGTGTTGAATGGTAACTTGAGAAATGTCACTCACTCTTTCCTCCTCCAGTCCCTCCTCCGCTGGAGTCGGTCTTCTCCCATTGGCTGCTGGTGATGCCTTCCTCTTGCAAGCGGGGGAATGATTAAGCAAAGTTGGAAGGTTTTTTGGGGGGAATGGAAGGAGTCCAAAAGCCTCGCTTTTCTGCTGAAGCAGAGACCTCAGTCCCCCAACGCTTAGGCGGATTCCTGAAGGTACAGCTGTTTTAAATGGAAGCCTTAAAAAAAAAGAAACATTTATGAGTGGCTGCCATTGATATGTGGTAGAGCTAGCCATGTGGTCACATTGAAAGCAAGCGTCCTGGGACCGTTTGGATGGAGGCAGAGGGTGTTATTCTGGAATATTGTGTGTCCTGGGACGGCAACTCCCAAGAGGCAGTGTTGTGTAGTGGTTAGAGTGCTGGACTTGGACCTGGGAGACAAGGGTTCGATTTCTGTCATGGAGCTCACTGGGTAGTCTGGGGACAGTTGCGCTCTCTCTTGCTCGTCCTAACTTACCTCACAGGGTTGTTGTGAGGATAAAACGGAAAGAGGGAGAAGGGTCGGCACCACTTTTGAGTTTATAGGAGAAAAGGTGGGTTATAAATGTAATAATAAGTTATCCCTGATGCTGAGCTGCTGTTTTTACTGTTGTTGCTCCCCATCATATTGTTGCTGCGGGGGCACATAGTCTGGTACAGCACCTCAAGTTACAAATACTTCAGGTTACGGACTCCGCTCACCCGGAAGTAGTACCTCGGGTTAAGAACTTTACTTCAGAATGAGAACAGAAATTGCGCACTGGCAGCAGCAGGAGGCCCCATTAGCTAAAGTGGTACCTCAGCTTAAGAATGGACTTCCGGAACGAATTAAGTTCGTAACCAAAGGTACTACTGTATTTTTTGTTTGTTTGCAGTAAAATAAAACATCATTTATATCTCTCATTTCAGGATACAAATTCTTCTAATGCGCATAAAGCTACAATAATAATCATGATGACCATGTTGAAATATTGCAATTAATCAGTATCTGTCCCTGTTGGGTCGCGGGTGGCGCTGTGGGTAAAACCTCAGCGCCTAGGACTTGCTGATCGTCAGGTCGGTGGTTCGAATCCCCCCGGCGGGGTGCGCTCCCGTTGCTCGGTCCCAGCGCCTGCCAACCTAGCAGTTCGAAAGCACCCCCGGGTGCAAGTAGATAAATAGGGACCGCTTACTAGCGGGAAGGTAAACGGCGTTTCCGTGTGCTGCGCTGGCTCGCCAGATGCAGCTTGTCACGCTGGCCACGTGACCCGGAAGTGTCTTCGGACAGTGCTGGCCCCCGGCCTCTTAAGCGAGATGGGCGCGCAACCCCAGAGTTGGACACGACTGGCCCGTACGGGCAGGGGTACCTTTACCTTTACCTTGTCCCTGTTGGGTAGTTGGCGGTAGATGATCTTTGGAGGGGTAGGAACAGTCCACTTTGAACAGGAGCGCAGGTACAGCCATGGACAGCTCTCTTTTCCCTCCCCCCAAAATGGCCTAACCATCCTTTGTAAAGCAACTGGGCATTGTGGACTCTTGTAGCAATGAGTTCCGTAGGCTAATTGTGTGTCACGTGACGGAATGTCGCTGAGTAATGCCGCTCCCAGATGTAGGGCAGAGGTCTTTCAGTATTGGTCCCATCACCTGGCATTCAGAGGTATGCTCAATAGGAGTTGGAGAAATTTCCCCCCTCTTGGTTGTTGCTGAACTGTAACTCCTGTCAGCGCCAGCAAGCATGGCCAATGGCCAGGGGTGGTGGGAGGCGTAGTTCAGCAAAATCTGAAGGGCCACAGGTTCCCCACACCTGCTGTATAAATAAATAGCCATCCTGCTAGCTCCCAATAGTGTTACCCTCTGTGAATACCTTTAATCCCCATTTGGTGCCATCTGAGTTGGTGCCTGCGCCTGCATCTTGTGGGAAGAGGTTCCACAGTTTCACTGTGCTGTGAAAAAGTGCTTCCTCATTGTCCATCCCAAATCTCTTACTGGGTGGCCCCTAGAGGGTTCTAGTATTAGGAGACAGGGAGGAATAACTTTCAGCCCTATTATAGGGGGCTACATTAGTGCTGTAGCATGCTGAGTGCTCTGGGTAAGGAAATATGAATGCATTTCGGCAGGTTTTAGGGATTTGTCCTTTAGCAGATTCCTAGACTGTCTTAAAAGTTGCCCAATGCCGTCTTAAGCATTGCAGCCTTAAATACTGCTCAGATACCATTCCCTGAGGCAGTGGTGTCTTAACAGGCTGTGTTGTCTTTGGCCTGCTTTGCTGTTTATTCATTACCCAAAGCGACTTATAGTGATCCAAACATTAAAACCGAGTATAAAAAACCCCAGAACAAACCTAAAAACACATCCATACACTTAGAAAAAGGCAAGTCGTAACACATCCCACTCCAGAGGCCACAGATACCTAAAAATTCTCCCAAGTTAAGGGCCAGAAACCTGGGTGAAAAGAAATATTTTTGCCTGGTGCCTAAACCTAAAAAATAGGTAATGATGGCACCAGGGGTGCCTCACCTAAGACAGCATCTCGTAAGTGGGGAGCCACCACTGAAAAGGCCTCGTGCTGCCCCTCAATACTTGCTAGGAGGAAGTCATTTTTTAAAAATAAAGCATTTTTTTTTGTTTTTTTTAATCCAGCTGCTGAAATTAGAAACCCTACCGAAAGAAAGCTAAATATAAAAATACGGCACAGTTCGTAGACCAGGAGTAGGAAACCTATACTAGACTCCAACTTCCATCATACCTTGCTGGCTGGGGCTGATAGAAGCTGGAGTCCATCAACAACTGGAGGGAAGCAGGTCCCTGGACGATTTTGTATTTTGGCAAGTCAGCACTGGGAAGGAGTTCCACACTTGACAGGCAATGATTCCAGTGTTGACTTGGTGCGTACTTAAAGAAGGTACACTTCTTCAATGTTGTGTGACTATAGCAACACACAGAGAAAGCAGAGGTGGCCTTTGATTAAAGTGCGTCTCACCTGAGAGGTCATAACTGGCACACAGGAATTACATTTTTAAAAATGACTTTTGTCCTGCCCTTTCTCCTTGACACTTGAAATGGGGCACATGCCTCCCCCCCTCCCCATTTGTCTTTCCAATACACTGAGAAAGAGGCTGGGTGCGTACATTTAAAGCCCGTGACTTACCCTCACACCAAATGATTCTGGGAACCGTAGTTTGTTAAGGGTGCTGGGAACTGTAGTACCACCTCTCACAAAGCTACAGTTCCCAGCACCCAGTTCTTTGAGGGGGCGAGTCATGTGCTTTAAATCTGTGGTGTGCATGCAGCCGTAGGGAGTTGCCCAAAGGCCAGTTGGTGGGTATCATGGCTTGTTCTCCACATTCCTGTCCTAACACTTGGACTAGTGCAGACCTCAGACACTAAAACTGAAGTTGCCTCCTGTGCTTTTAGCTCACAAGGTGTTTGGTGATTCAAAGTGTTTGGTCAATTCCCCACCTGGAGAGGGTTGTGTTCTGCTTCAAAGTCCATAGGTGGGAGAGCCCTGCAAGGATTTTTCTTCTCTTTTTTTCGTGATGCAGACAATAATTGCAGCTTGCTGAACAGAATCATAAAATCAGAGTTGGAAGAGACCTCCCAGGGTCATCTAGTCCAACCTCCTGCAATGCAGGAATCTTTCTGCTCAACGTGGGGCTCAAACCTGCAACCTTAAGACCAAGAGTCTTTTGCTCTACTGACTGAGCTATATTGTTGCTTTTAATGTCTGCATCCCTCTCTGCCTTAAACGCTCATTGTTCCCATTTTAAAGATTGTTCTTTATTAAATTGTTATACCACCCTTCACCCGAAGATTGCAACATAAAAGTACAAAATGAAGACATAAAGTGCATAATAAATGAAAACAAACCAATAACCGCCTTCCCACTGTCACATTTAAAAGACCAGAGAATGGTAATTAGCCAAATAAAAGGCACTGAGGACAAAATATAGCCATTTGGTTGCAGGGCAGGCAGCTTAAGTGCTCTGGGACCCAACCTGCAGTATTCCTTTAACGCAATATTGGGCTGCGGCCATGGCTTCCCTTAGTGAATCTGGGAACTGTAGTTTGTGAAGGGTGCTGAGGGTTTCTAGGGAGAGCCCTGTTCCCTTCACAGAGCTACAATTCCCAGAGTTCCCTGGAAGGAGGCATTGATTGTTAAACCATCCTCTGAAGCCCTCAGTTGTTCCCGAGCCTCTGAAGTCAGAATCCCTGCTGCCCCAAAGCAGTTGGCTGTGGCTCAAGTCTTGCAGCAGCCCTATGTGATGTCAGAGCAGCCAGACTAATCAAAGCTGTGAAGTTTAGGCCTTCTATTGGCTCAGAAGAACCTGTAACAGCACCTGTTGCCCATCACACTTGATTAGTTCGTGATCTCTCTCTCTCTCTCTCTCTCAACACTTTGCATTCAGTGACCTTGGTTCACCCAGAAGCCGAGACTTCTAACTGCCCCAGGGATAGGTTCTGTGTAGCTCAGAAGCCTGTAGAGTCTTGCATCCAAAATAAATTGATCCCATAAGAGTTCCCCTTCAGGTGATTTTTGTTGCTTTGACTCTCTCTCCCCCCTCCCTCCTTGCAAATCTGCAACTTGACTAGTGGTAGCAAAGGGAAAGCGTGCCCCTCCCTCCTCATAAACATAAAAAAACCGGAGTGAAAGAACTTCAAAGCTGAGAGGGGTGTGTCTGATAGAGCAGCTCTGCCTGGTCTGGAATTGCTTTAATGATGCGCTTGCTCTCCGTAGGAAGAGGGGAAAGTTTTTACTTTGCTATCTGTGTTTGAACTAAGTCCTTGGCTGAGTTGTTACGTGTGTAATGTCGCGTTTAAATTTTTGTTTTGTTTTTGGAAGATAAATCCTGTACTAAGTTACCGTATTTTTCGCTCTATAACACGCACCCGACCATAACACGCACGTAGTTTTTAGAGGAGGAAAATCCGTAGGCATGCCACCTGTAGGCATTCCCTCCATAACACGCACAGACATTTCCCTTTACTTTCTAGGAGGAAAAAAGTGAGTGTTATGGTGCAAAAAATACGGTAATTGAGTGAGCAGCGAATCTGGATTCTCTGCAGTGCAGTAAATGGGCAGACTTCTCATAGATCTCTCACTTGACGCCTTCTGCTGGTTGATAACAAGGAGCTTTTGTGGGGTGTGGAACCCCAGTCTCTGACTCAAGGGTGTGTTTGCAATAAGTTTGAGGGTGTGACACAAAAGGCCCTGGGTGCCATAAACATTATATCTACCCTACCTGACTTGCTGGGGTCTTATCTCTGCCACCTGAAGTTTTCCCCAGGCTTGTAAATGGTTTTTTTAAAAAGAAAATCAATGAGGCCTAGAAGCTTGCTCAAAGGAATATTTAGTAAAATTTACTTTTTGTGGCATCTATATATAATTTTTCTCTTCCTTTCTCTCTGCACTCCAGTGAAATCGTGTCATTTTCTCACTGGCGCGTACTCTAGGTTATCAAAATGAATTATTTATTTGGATTGTTATGTTTGGCAGTATTCAGTTAAGTTTTACTTGGAGTAGATCCATTGAAATTAATAGACCTAACACGTTCATTCTTTTCAGTGGTTCTACTCTGAGTAAAACCCGTTCTGTTTTGACATGAATCAGCATTTCGGCTGCATATGCAATATAATTTTAAAGCACATTTGAATCACATTATCTCCCACAAAGAAGCAATCCCATGAACTGTAATTTCCCTCTCACAGGGCTACAATATCCAGCAGCCCTGAAAAAAAATTGCAGTTCCCAGGATGCTTTGGGAGAAATAATGTGCTCCAAATGTAGTTCAAATGTTTACTATTGGGAAATGCATGTCGCTGCCCAGTAATTTGTAGAAACAACAACAACAACAAATAATTATTTTAAAAGGGATAGTGCAGTTAGTGAATTTGGACCTGCCATGCCAAAAATTAGGTGAAGTCACACCAAAGTCACAATTGGGTTCGCCATCTGGATTCAAATTGGCAGCTGGTATCCAAACATTGACAGCGACTGCTGCCCCTGGTTCAGGAACCCCTGTGCCAGGTTTGGTGAAGACATCTTGAGAGGCGGCCTATAGAAAACAGAAAGACAAACCAGTTTCCAAAATGAGCCACATTGGAAGCACTGATGTGGGGGGAAGTGACATACAAAACGAAATCATAAATTAAAATTTCTATTTATCACCCCACTTCCCCCGGCTGCAAAAATTGTATTATTCTAGTAGGGGCCTAGGAAGCTGGACAATTTGGTTTTGTAGACTAGGGTTGCCCATTCTGATTGTCTGCCACTCTTGACTGAAGGTCTTAGGCAGCTGATCTTTTTAATTGGAGAGCGAAGGGGGTTGAACCCGGGATCTTGTGCATGCAGCCAGGTGCTATTCCAGTGTGTTCGGTCGTCCCAGTTTATTTTCCTTTCTTGTTTCCAAAAAAGTTGGTTTTCCCCTCCCAATTTTCCTATTCCCTTCCCCACCAAGCCTTCACATCTTTAGAACCACCCACCCTTGGAGAATATATGGGGTATGAAGTGATACTGATGTTGGCAGGAGGGGAATTAAACACATTTCAACACTTTTCAGCCTGATTGGTGTATGCCTTTCCTGCATTTGAATTTCTAAACAGGTTGATCAAAGGGTTATCTACCTGGAACTACTGAAGAAATAGTTATTTATTAACCTTGCGTTAGTGAAGAAAGTGCCGGTCAGTCAGTCCGTTGTCTTGGCAGGTGTTCTGTGCTGCTCACAAGCTTGCATACTTATCAGCACAAACAAACAGAGAGTGGTGGTAGAGGTGATCTTTTGTTGGCTGCCTTAAAGCTAAACAGGAGTCCTTGGGTACGAGACAGTCTGTGATGTGTGGTGGAACACGTTTTCTAAACAAATGATCCAGATTCGTTTCCCCTGTTGCAATACTTCTGATTCTCTCTTTTATTCTCTAATTTTAGAAATGCAGGCTTTTAGAAAATTTGTGGCGAAATAAAACAAGTGCAATACTAATCAAACTAGGCAACTAGAATGGAAAATAGCCATAGCCAAATTTGACAGGAAAGTGTTTTTACCATTTTTTTCCCCTCTAGGAAGAACCCGCTTCTCCTGTGCCTCAAGCTTGCTAAAATTAGGCCTGCCAAAATGGTCTACGTTACTTTCAATTTTTCCCCCTTAAGCTCTATATTAAGACAAGTGGGTAGCATTGAGTTGCCATGTCTTAAAATATTTACAAGTCCTCCAATAAAAGGAACTTGAATCGGAATATAACATTTAGACCTCACTGACAGCGCAATCCTGTGGCTGTTTATTTTGAAGACACTGCGGCTTATTTATGTGCCAATTATTCCCAGATAAGCGTGTGTAGGACTGAGGTTTAAGTGCACTCTGCATGGAAGGCTTCCTAATGGAATCTGTTGATTTATCTACCTCTGGCTAATTGGCAAAACATTTTGAGATTCAGATAGCACCAAGTGTGAAAAGTCTGCTGTTAGTTTTGCTTACGAAATATAAGTTGGATCTCGGTTCATTCTTAAGAGTCGGCAAAAAAACTTCCCAGTTCTAAATTTCCCGGGAAGTCCACATCCTTGGGGGTAGTCCGTTCCTCAAATGCAGCAAACGCCTTATGCAGCGTCTGTTTTATGCCAACTCTGTGTGAGTGCTAACTTACGTGGGGTTTGTGGGTCCCAGCACAGGGGCGTTCCTGTTTTCCATGATGGTCTGAATCCTAGGATGTAAAAGGGAAGGTGGCATGACCTCTGTGAAGAACTCTGCCACAAAGTATGTCCCACCTATTGGGAGATACAGGACAGGTAAAGGGAAGTACTGCTTAGCACCGTGTGTGGTTGGCGCATTTTGCACTTGGCTCTTGGCCATTTGCAGGTGAAGATGCCTGGGTCACAGGATGGCGCCTGACACCTCCACCTCTGGAGGTGCGTGCCTGGGAATCATTGGATCGCGACTGTTTTCCACACACTAATACCCTCTCCTGTAGAATTCTATGTGTCCCATTTTATCTGCATAATCAGAATGAATTTCAGGAACCAAAACGCTTTTTTTGTGCAGCTTGCGCAGGAGCAGCGAACAACATTATATAGTTCACTGTTGTCACTTGTCTTCACTTGCCCCCACCTCACAGTTGTGAAGAATATTCTTACATTATGAATGGTCCGTGTCACTATTAAGCAAAATAGTATAAGGAAAAAAAATACATTAAGACTGTCCCTGGATAAAGTGACTTTTAAGTTCTAAACATTCTTAACACAGCTCAAGGTTGTCATCTTGAACTAGCCAGATGTTTAGCTGAAAATCTATCACAGTCAGTCCATCATTTGAATAATAAGACTTTAGAGCCGTCTTGCCCCCAAATGGTGTTCCTTTTTGGGCGACTGCAACCTTGGTTTAAGGAGCCATTTGGCCCCCAGCTTGTATATCTGAGTTTCTAATACTGGAAGTTTCAGAATTTGCTCCCATGGGGTGTAGTAATGGAGACCAATTTGGATGGCTTCAAAGGGGGTTAGGCAAATGTGAGGAGGATTGTTCTGATGCACTCGCTGTGTGCTACTCCGCTGTTGGAGGCAGAACAGTCCTGGGTACCAGTTGCTCACAGTCACAAGTGGGGGGGTGTGCTGTTGCACTCGGATCCTGGTTGTGGGCTTCTCTTTGGGGCATATGGTTGGGCCACTTTGAGAAGAGTGGATTAAATGGATCTCTGGATCCATCAGGACTCTTGATATGTTTTTATTGAAATGGGGGACCTGTTGCAGGACTCCCATCTCGCACCAACCTCGACTGTTGGCCATGTTGACAGGGGCCGATGGGAGTTCAGCAACATTTCGAAGGCCACAAGGTTCCCCCCACTCCTTGTTGCAACGCTTTGCCCAAAAAGAGACCGAACAAGGCTGATACCCACCTGGAATCTTATTATCCCATTTCCCGTAGGGAGACTTCCTTCTGCACAAGTGAGAACACGATCCTCTGCTTGGCTCCTCTCCCCCCAATGCACGGGAAGGGCATGTAAATCATTGACTGTGCCTAGACTCGCAAATATTTCTAGAATTTCTGCAAATTGCCATTTTTGTCTTGTTGGGTGCCACATGGCCTGCTTGAATTTGCCCTTGCTCCATTTGTGCAAGGACAGAGAACTGTCTGCTGTCCGGAGTGCCTCTCCCCACTTGCCCCCCCCCTCCCCGGCAAGAATGTGATTTTTTTTTTACGTGCTTATAAAAAGCAATGGGTATGTTGGGCTTGGTGAGCAGGGTTGGTGGGGTAGCTACAGGAAGTGAGCGGTCTCAGGAACCAACTGGACAGATAAGTGATGGGAACACAGGAAGCTGCCTTCTACTGAGTCCTTGGTCCATCTGTTGTTGACATTGCCTGGTAGCAGCTTTCCAGGATTTCAGGCAAGGGGCTGTTCCCAGCCCTACCTGAAGATGCCTGTGATTGAACCTAAGACCTTTTGCATGCAAAGCAGAGGCTCTTCCACTGAGCCAGATCCCTTGCCACACATTGCCCAAGGCTTTTGATGTGCTCATGCTCTTATGTTTTTACTAGTCTTCTGGTAGTGATTGTGTTTGGCTTTTTGTAGCGCTCTTATATTTTCAGTAAGTTTCTTTTTTTAATATATTATTTGTTTCCATGTTTGTCTCGCTGTAAGGTTTGTTGAGGCGCAGTTTCATGGAAAAGCAGTATTAAGAGTCTATTCCTTCTGTCTTTAGACAGCTTTGCTGGGTTGCCTGGTGCAGTTTTCTTACTCAGCTTTGGCGACTGCGTGCTCACAGTCTTCCTATGAAACCCTTGGCATTGTGGGAAGGATGCTTCTAAGTCATGGCAAGGGCTTAGCTTGGTTGCTGTAGCCTTGCCTATTTCTGGTGTAGTGTGGGATGTATTTTGAGACAAATCTGGCAGTGTGTATCAAAAACAACTGAGACCATGAGGATGGTGACTTCCTAAGCAGGGCTGCAGGGGAAAGGTCAATCAGACATCTACGCTTATTTTATGCCCTAGCTGGAGAAGCTTGAGGTGGAGGTGTGGTAGACTGTTGCTGGGTTCTGAAGCTCCATCTCCCTTTGATACAGCTTATTCAACTTTGCAGCTCATGGTTGAAGTTGTTAGCCCAGCAGCATCTGAACACAGCCACAAGTTCTCCATTATCAGATGGAACTTTGGTCTGAGCCAGCTGGGTCCTTATTATGTACGTCTCCTAATTTTTCCACCCATCCCCTAGCTCTAGTTTCTTTCGAATACATGAATGAAGTCAATTGTGAGCATTGGGATTTCATGGTTCATTTAGCTGCTCGAGATGCATTAAGGACTTAAATCAGTTGTCTTGAGCTTGTCCTTCTGGGTTGGTGAAGAAAGCTGCTTTAAAAAAAATAAAATGCTCTGACTCACTTCAACTTCATCAAAGCTGTCGACAGCTCAGGGAACCCTGCATTGTGTTCTGTGTTCAGATGGCTGGTCCCAGATCAACAGAGGCTTATGCCTTGCCAGAAACACTTTTGGGCTTCATCTCTAGTGAAAATAAAAGTGTTAAATTGTCATCATCATCCTTTTTTTTTATTGCCTTCTCAAGGCGATTTACACCTAAGATTATTGAAATAGTTAAAATTACAAAACCAGATATATTTAAAGCAAGACTAAAACCCTAACAAGTAGATGCTCGTGGCAAAGCCCCCTTTATCCACCTGAGAAAGCTTGTCAGAACAGAAATGCCTTCCGTTGTTTCCGGAATAAACTTGGCACTTGATTTGTTTGCTTTGTGTGTGCCTCCTCTCACAGTCTTGTGAGTGCAGATAGGATCACCGAAAAATCTAAACTTCCTCATTCTGGTTGCCTCCACTAATCACCGCAAGTCTTCCACTGATATAACAATCTTTCCCAAACTCTGGTTTCTTGAGATATTTGAAGATGGAGATATGGTAGCCATCTTCAAATATCTCAAGGGCTGTCACATGGAAGAGGGAACAAGCTTGTTTTCTCCTGCTCTGGAGGGTAGGACTCGAACCAGTGGCTTCAGATTATAAGGAGATTCAGACTAATCATCAGGAAGAGCTTTCTAACAGTAAGGGCTGTTCGGCAGTGGAATGGTCTCCCTCTGGAGGTTGTGAACTCTCCTTCCTTGGAGGTTTTTAAGCAGAGCTTGGATGACCATATGTCATGGATGCTTTAGTTGAGATTCCTGCATTGCAGAGGGTTGGAGTTGAAGACCTTCGGGGTCCCTTCCAACTTGACAAATCTATGATTCTAGGGTGTGAACAACATATGAGCCCTGCTGGATCAGGTCCACCTAGTCCAGCAGTTGACTTGCCACAGTGACCAGCCAATTGTCTCTAGACAGCCTGCAGGCAAGGCTTGAAAATGGCAGCCCTCTCCTGAACACGGCTTTCCAGCAGGTGACCATCAGAAATGTCCTTGATGTGAATATGGAAGTTCTATCTCACCACTGTAGCTGATAAATCCATCGGTGGCTCTCCCCCTCCCTCTACCGAGTCATACCATTGGTGCATCAAGCCCAGTATTGTCTACACACTGAGATCTTCTGCTGACTGATTAAGTGATTTGCGCTTGTCCCTCCTAGCTATGTTTGGGCATCTAATGGTGGTTTTCTGACTGAAGTAGGTGGTCAGCCTTGAGGTAATGGAGCCCTACCCTTGTTTCAATAGAGATACCCTTCCCTTTACTTTCCAAGGTGTAGAAGGATGAGCATGTTGAACTTTTTTTTCCTACCAGCCCAATTTCTGTGGAGGTTTCTGTTTAAATTGCAGTAAATGCAACAGTCTCGTGGTATCCTTTTAAAGGCAAACGGGTTTGCTGCAGCCTCGGCTGCCGTGTTTGCTGTCCTCCATTGCTGTCTTGGGTGCTTCTCCTTGTTTGCTTTAATGCCAGAGTGCTTTTATTTGTATAATTCGGGGCAAAGTACACCTGACTCTCGGTTTAGTCCCCAAATAATGCTGTTGTTGGGCACGGCCTGAGGCTCACACAGTCGGTAGCAGGGTACAAGTTCAGTGGCAAGAGTCTGGCTTTTTTTAATTTAAAAAACCCAAATAATTCTTCCGCTGTCCTCCATTTTACAACCCCGTGGCATGGGCGCAGTGGCAGCATCCTACTGTCCTGGGCAGCAGCTGAGCCTTTCTCTCACCTGCTTCACCCCTAATAGTGTCTCTCCCACCATGTTTTTGTGCCACAATTTGTCTCTTCCTCCCCCTCAACCCATCTACTAATATGTGCTAAGACCTATTTTATGTGAGAGGAGCTCAAAAGGTGTTATTTTGTTTTAGTTGCCATTTTGCTGAGCTGAGCTGTTGTAATTCTGGGTTTGAGTTCCTGTTTTGCGTGCCTCCTTGTGATAATTTTTAAATGAAAATACGGGGTTCATAAACATTTAAATAGAAGTAAAATCCGTGCCTCTGAACTTTTGAGGGCAAGGGCTCCATTTGTAACACAATCCCCACTTCAGAAGCGGAGCCCAACTAATTTCTCCCTGCCTCCCTTTTGCTTCTCCCCTTAATGTTGTCAAAGCGGCTGAAGTTAGCTGTGCTTCGTGCTGGTTCGACTGCATGCAGATGATTCTCCAGCTGCCCAAGTAGAAACCCTAGAGAGAGACCGGACTCTGTTCTCTGACCTTGCAAGTTATTTGTAGCTGCCTTGTTCCAAAATATTGATTCACCTGAGAAATGGGAAGTCCGCTTCCCCCCAAAAACATAACAAAAGCTAGCGTACCAAGTTAGCTTTATCTCTTCTGGAATCTCCAGCTTCTGTGTGGGCTTATAAGGCAGCTCATATGCCCTTTGGCTATTTTTAGCGTGGAAAAAATTTCCCGGCCCCTGTGACTTCAGTTTTTAATGCAACCGAGTCCTATCCGGCATGCCTCTTCACCCTGGTGGCTGCATTCCCTGACACTGTGTCGCACATCCTTCTAATTCCACTGCATTACACAATTATATCGTTATGTGATTAGGGGGAGAAGGCTGTGAAATTTTAAAGGTGCTTCCTATTGAGAATCTTCTCTACGCCCACTATGTTGACCTCTTGCTTCCTTCCGGGCTTTTTCTTTTTTGCTCCTCTGGCTATCTCGGTTCGATCTACCATCTCACCACTGAGGACTAGAAACTTGGTGTTTTATGCAATTAAATGCAGAGTGCAAATAGCCTTAATCCAGGGAGGGGAAAGAATACGAGCTTGTTAATATTGCACTGTTGTCTTGGCACTTTGTGGTACAAATGCAGTCTTCTGGCATCCTTCTCTCATCTCCCATTCCAAAGCCCATGAGCTGTCACGGCTCAGCAAGGACTGGTTTCTTGGATATTTTCACCTCCCAGTTCCAGAAAATACGTAAGTCCCTTTCTCTCAAACTCCTGCCAAAGTTTCTTGGAAACTTAACGGTGGTGTGGATAATCATTTTTGTCTGCGGACTGTGTGAATGAGAGCCAGACAGTGTATGCAAAATTCATGATACTGATCTCCTTAGTTCAGGGGTTGCCAAAGGCTCATGGACAAATTTGGGTTTTGAAGCAAGTGTTGTGGGTACTTGCTCCCTCTGGTCACATCTTTCACCTTTTCCCCAGATCAGTCCTCCCCACTGACAGAGGGAAGGATTGCACACAAACATACAAATTTTGCATTTCTGCATGTTCTGTGTGACAGTCAGAATGAATAGAATTTCTGAGCCCTGATAAGCCTGTAGAGCTGAAAGAGGAGGAGGAAAGAGCCTTGCTCTCCCAGCTTCCTCCCTTTTTGTGTAATTTTTATGGGAGAAAAAAGTAACCACCAAAGGAGCAGCGAGTTTTGAGGGGAGGCAGAGCTTAGAAGCTTTTGGAGCCCTCAAGGACACTGTTGTGGCTGCAGAACGCGACGCTGGTGCCTCCTGTCTCCTAGTGTTTGGGTTTTAATTTAAAAGCACTTTGATGGGTCTGACCTGAATCTGGGGAAGGTTTCAACCCTTTCACCCCAGGAGATAATGCACCAGCAAATGGGTGTTCCATGCATTTGTGGACTTGCCAAGTGCAGAATCCTTGAGTCTACTGACGAAACTGGAATCCCATCCCAGGCTTGGGAACGATGCCAGCATGTGCAACACAGCAGCTTGCCATGTATGTGTGTGCTGAAGTGAACACCAGCCAACTTCTTCCCTTCTCAGATCTTAGGCAGAGCTGCTCTGTCCGCCCCTTAAAAACCCTGCGCCACTAGTTCGCTTCGGCCCTTATATGGATCCGCTTACTGCAGGGTTTCTCCGTTCTGGAGGGGAGCTGTGCTTATTGATTCTGCAGCACGTAAAGGAGGAATTTGGGGGAGGAAAAAAACCAACTTCCAAAGAGAGCTGGTGCTATTGTGCCCACCAAACCCCATTTAGTAGATGTGAGCCAGGTGTTCAATGTTTAGCGGACACATTTTTTTTCCCAGGCAGAAGCTGCAAGCATCACAGGAAGAGTGTATTTCTAGAAGGGTGTGTCTGAATCTGACCCAGTGTGCAATTTCAGCTCATTGCCTCAGGTGGGCATAGGGAACAAGTGGCTTCCAGATGTTTCTGAACTACAACTCCCATCATACTCGCTGGCACTGATGGTTCAGCAACATCTGGAGAGCCACGAGTTCCCAACACCAGACCTAAGGGAATTTCCTACTGGAGGAGGGAGCAGGGGAATGTTCAAGTTCTCATTGAGGTGGTAAATCTGTATCTCATAGAATCATAGAGTTGGAAGAGACCACAAGGGCCATCGAGTCCAACCCCCTGCCAAGCAAGAAACACCATCAGAGCACTCCTGACATATGGTTGTCAAGCCTCTGCTTAAAGACCTCCAAAGAAGGAGACTCCACCACACTTCTTGGCAGCAAATTCCACTGTCGAACAGCTCTTACTGTCAGGAAGTTCTTCCTAATGTTTAGGTGGAATCTTCTTTCTTGTAGTTTGGATCCATTGCTCCGTGTCCGCTTCTCTGGAGCAGCAGAAAACAACCTTTCTCCCTCCTCTATGTGACATCCTTTTATATATTTGAACATGGCTATCATCTCACCCCTTAACCTCCTCTTCTCCAAGCTAAACATGCCCAGCTCCCTTAGCCGTTCCTCATAAGGCATCGTTTCCAGGCCTTTGACCATTTTGGTTGCCCTCCTCTGGACACGTTCCAGTTTGTCAGTGTCCTTCTTGAACTGTGGTGCCCAGAACTGGACACAGTACTCCAGGTGAGGTCTGACCAGAGCAGAATACAGTGGCACTATTACTTCCCTTGATCTAGAATGCTATACTCCTATTGATGAGGCCCAGAATTGCATTGGCTTTTTTAGCTGCTGCTAGAAGAAGCATTTCCACCCTTGCTTTCTACATGCAGGGATATATATATTTGCTGCCTTAGAGAGGAGTATTTCTACACACTCCCTTGACCACTGTGATTTAAACTTGGACACAGGTTTTCCTTCTCCCGGTGCTATATTTAGTTCATTCGCCTGGGTAGGTGGGAACCTGTTGTTGTACTTCAGCTCCCATCAGCCCCAGCCACTAAGATCTGTGATCAGGGATGATGGGAACTGTGGTCCAACCACATCAAAGGCCCACAGGTAGAATCCTAAATTGTAGAGTTGGAAGGGATCCCGAGGGTCAACTATTCCAACCCTGCAATGCAGGATGCTGTTAATGCACTCTTGAGTATCATTGCATGCCAATTATACCTGACACTTGGAATTTTAAATTCCCTTGTAAGCAAGGGTGTTTGGAAGGTAGGGAGAGAAGCAGCACAAGAGGGGAAGAGCAGAGGCTGGTGCAGGGCAACATAGCTATTTCTTGGGGAATCGCAGCACCTTTTGCATGCATATAGAATCCCACCCCACTGCCCCATGCCGAGTTTCTAGTTCTGTTGTGGGTGATTTCTAGTGAAGTTTCCAGAAAGTTGGCTGAATAGTGAACTGGGGAGGTGTCATGAGTGTCTCCGTTCCTTGCTCACCTCCCTTAATTACAAACAGAGCATATGCAGTGTAAGTTTTCGTAAGAGCAGGGTTGATGAATCTGTGGCCCTCCAGAGTTTGTTGGACTCCGTCAGCCCCGGCCAGCATGGGAGTTGTCGTTCTAGCAGCATCTGGAGAGCAAGTGGTTCCCTACCCCTGTCCTAAATGCCTTGGCACTCTTTTATTTTTGAATAGCTGCTGCCTTTTCTGTCCTCTTGCAGTCCTGAATGCAAATCTATGCTGTGCAGAATCGAATGTTATTAGTGCCCAATCTTTTATTATTAGAGATTTGTTTCATGCTGCTGGCCATCGTGATTAATGGAACCTACATGTTCAGTGGCAGAATATCTCCGAAACTCAGAAGATGGGGGGGGGACAGCAATGGGAGAGGGCTGTCATCTATCTTCTTCTCTTGTTGTGTGCTTCCTGGAGGCATGAGATAGCTCAGTTGGCAGAGCATGAGGCTCTTTTAATCTCAGGACCGTGGGTTCAAGCCCCACTTAGGGCAAAACATTCCTGCATTGCAGGGGGTTGGACTAGATGACCCTTGTGGTCCCTTCCAGCTCTACAATGCTATGATTCTGTTATATCTGGCTGACCTATGGGAGAGAACTGATGATGAACTAGAAGGACGTCTGTCTGATCCTGCTGGGCTCCTTTCATGTTCATGCGCTGTGATGCACTCTCAAGCCTTCAGCTGCAGATGGTTTATAAACTTAAAGCTGCTTTAGCTCTTCTTCTTTTGGTTGCTCAGTTTTATTCCCAGCATCTCCAAAGGGGGATGGGTAAGTGGGTTGCTTTGCTCTTGAATGCTTCATCACACATAAGGGGAGAGCCTGCCTTTTTCTGAGAACCTGAGTCCTGACAAAATTGCTGGAAAAAGCCCAACTTTGGTGGATGATTCATAAATGAGAGGCTCTTGTGTCTTGGGAATCACCAGTCCTCATGGCTCAATAATAATAATAAAAATAAAAATAATAAACTGGAATGTTACAAGCAATTTTTAATTTATTTTTTAAAGCCCAGATTGTTCCTCCAGCAGCTCAGATCAGGGCTTCGCACCTGCTTTGTCTCAATGCAGCCTTCTTCCCTTGCCCTCCTCGCATGCTTCGAATGTCTCTCACTCAGCTTACCTTCTGCTTTCTTACTTCTGGAAAGTGTCCTGGGTTCCCCTTGGAGAGCCCTCAAGATGCCATCATCATTAAATGGCGGTAGAAGAAATCCCTGCAGATTTTCCTCTGCATGAGAGAGAGAGAGAATCTTTTTAGAAAACTCCATAAGCACATTGTCATCATAGCCTAGTTCCCAGTGAAGTGGGGCAAGCCTGTGTCTGTGCTGTACCCCTCCAGACTTTTGGGTTGGGGAGGGCTCTTCCATAGAGCAACAAAGACCTCGCCCTCTGCATGCAGAAAAAGAGCGGGTCAGGCTCTTTCCCCACATGCAGGCTTTTTGCATGCAGGGAGTGTATTTAGTTTGTATGGAAGATCGTTCTGACACGTAAGCCTCCCCGCTCCAAGTCTGAGGGGTACAGCCAGGACAGAGGCTTGCCCCACTTCTCTGAGAACTAGACCTTGGAGCTGATATTCCTGGTTCTACACTTCCAACCTTGGGAGGACGAGTCCGTGCCCTTGGAGACACCCAAACTCTGCTGGCTGCCAATGTAAACTGTGAGAGTGTTCTGCAGCAAGCAGCTCTCTGAATGGGCAGCTGTTTACCCCTGACATTCCAGCCACAAGGCCCGCAGATTCTCCTCTGTTAAGGAAAGGAATGCCAGCCTTGTCTTTTTATAACTTGAGGGGAGCTCTTGCTCAAGTAACAGGTTGGGCAGAATACAATGTGAACCTCAATTTTTGTCACTTATCTTGACTGTGGAATATTCCTGTTAGGGGTAGATCCACTGAAATTAATGGGCATGAGTAAATTGGGTCCATTAATTCCATTGAGTCTCCTCTGAGTAGGATTTAGCCCTGATTCTCATGAAGGCAGGGATTGCCAAATTTATTTTAGATGGCAACTGATGCACAACAGATAGACCACGTCCCCCGTTGTTCAGCCTTTCTTGTGCCGTACAGTTTGTTGTACAACATTCAGTGCAACAAAAAGCACTGTGTGTGTGTGTGTGTGTGTGTGTGTGTTGTTCTGTTCTGTTGTGGATCTATGACGAACATCTCTGATGCATGTTGCTGTATTTGAGATCCTTATCTGCAACTATAAACATTTTTGCTCCTGTAAACCAAAAGCGAATAATCATCATGTGATCTTTATGGTCTTGAGGTCAAAATGAAGATCAGGGGCTACTGGGCAGAACATTGGGGGGGGGCACTTGAGAAGGAAGATTATGGAAAAGTGACCAGCACAGTATATCGAACCAGGTGTTTGCAGCACAGATTTTCTTCTGGTGGGTGATTTCCTCTGCTTGCATATGTTGATGGTGCATATTTCATGGTGAAAGGTGGGGATGCATGTTGTCTTTGATTTGAAAGTAGTAGTCCAAGCATTCAGCAGGGCTCAGTTATGCGGGGAGGCAGAGGGTTCCTTAATACAGCGGTGCCCTCCAGAAGCCGTTGGACTACAATTCCCAACATCTCTGGCCTTTGGCCACGCTAGCTGGGGCTGATGGGAGTTGTAGTCCATTCACCTCCATGGTTGGAGGCAGTATTCTTCTGGATAATACTGGTTGCTGGGAATCGCAGGTGGGGAGAGGGCTCTTGCACTTGGGTTTGTGCTTGTGGGCTCCCCCTTGGGGCATCTGGTTGGCCACTGTGACAATAGGATGCTGGACCATTGGCCTAACCCAGCAGACTCTTCCTATATTACGTAGGCCAGTATGTTGGCTGTTTCTGCTTTAATACCCAACATTCCCCACTTTTAGGCAAAATATGCCTCCTAGATCCTTCAAAGCCTAGCAGCTAAACCGACTGGGCCACTCTGACCCACTGCAACCCATTTTTATTTCCATTGTTATTTTGTAGGCCTCTATCATGGTGCTTACTACTTGTTAGGATTTTTTTTTTTAAAGTATTGATCATGTGGCTTATTTTGTATGCGAGGAGCTGCCTTTGAACTCTTTCTAGGGAAGAATCTTAAATGCTTAGAATATTCACAGCCAAGTCTTCATAGAAGGTTCTGCATAGTTGTAAATCAAAACACGCTCCCTTCCCAATTCCTAAAAAACCTGCTTTGCGCCCCCAGAGGTACCTCTGAAATGTTAGCAGGCATCGCCCCCCCCCCTTCCAAGGGTGTTTTCGTAGCCCTTGAGGACTAGAAACTTTATTTTTTTAAAAAATCTTGAGCTATTCAAGATGGAGAAACTAGACTTCTGAGCTTCTGCGGCTTGGATGCCTGATTGCAGGCTAGTCTTGAGTGTTTCTGAGCACTGTTGGTGTGATTCTGGCTACACAGCCTCTCATAATGGCAAGGCCACAAGGTTTTGGTGGCGTTTTGGTGAATGCTGGGCAAGCTCAGCCGCTCAGTTGTTAATGTTGCCAAAGCTAATCCTTTGCCAACTTGGCACTTCCTGGATGTTGTCCTTCCCATCATCTCCAGCCAGAGTGGCCAATAGTCAGCGATGGCGGTCAAGGAATGCTGGAGCATGCCAGCTGGCTTAGATGTTCTCAAAACAGTGCGAGGAAAACTGAAGCCTTTAACGTGACGCTCTGTGTTTTTGTTTCTTTTTGTCTCTAGGTGTAATCGCTGAGGATCTGCAAAATGGCGCTCCGCTTCCGCACCTTGCTGCCCTTTGCCATCCCTGGAGTGCTGGCGCTCATCGGGTGGTGGTGGTTTTCTTCACGCAAAAAGGAGCGTGCGAGCAATCACGACAGGCGAGACTTGGCCAACATAGAAGAACACAGGATAGGCTCCCCCAAGAAAGAGCCTTCCGCTAGAGAAGGGGTGCCATTGAACAGCCAGCCGCCCCTGCCCCCAGAAGCCAAGCAGCCTGCTGAACCAGCCTTTACCGTCGAGTCTTCAGCAAGCCTGCAGGCCCCTTTGGAAAGTGGCGCTCGGCGCTGGGACCCCCCAAGAGACCGGCCTGTCACGGCAAAAACAACCATTGAATCCAACAGGGTTCAGGACGACAGTGAAAAACTGGAAGTGACGGGGTGCCGAGATGTACCTAGATCCCCCGCACAGGAGCCTTCCCTTCCGGGCGCTCAGATAGCTGACGGTACCTGTGCTGGTGAAGCTTCTATCGAGAGGCCACTGGCAGCCACTCGAGTGGCAAACCGGGTGCCATCACCAGTCTCGACGGCAGCAGCTCTGCTAGAGAAGTCTTCTAGTTTAGAGAAGTCTGGGGATAGCGGTTTGGAGGTGGTCCAGGATGATGCACCAGAGAAGCCTTTGAAAGAAGGCCTCTGTTCTGTAGCAGCCACCTCCTCAGATGCGGGTTCTTTGGCCGCCCCATGCTCCCAAGTGGCAGATGATGCGGTTTCTCAACCCTCTGTGGATGCCGCTGGAAAGGAAGAGATTGGTGGTGGCTGTGCCGGTGCAGCGGCCACAGAGATGGAAGCGGAGGCTAAATGTGTCAAACCTGATAGCGCAGAATTGGCCCAGAAAGAAGAGACGTCCAGTTCGAACGCTGGTAGTACGTTGAAGCGCCATGGATTTGGAGATGTTGGCTGTAAGGGGAGTTTGGAGAAAGCGAGGGTGGGAGGCATCAGCTTAGACAAAGAAGAAGTCGAGAAGATTGAGCAGGTTGCCATACATATAATTTCCAACGTCATCCAGGCAGCCACCGAGGAAGTGCTTTCTGGGTCGGTCAGCGACATGTCGGATAGGATCTCTCAGATGGCCAGCCGGGTTGAGAAGATCTCCGTGGCAGCTGCCGGCCAAGCAGAGTGCAGCAAGGGCCACGGCTGTGTCGCTGAGAAGGCGGCGGCCGTAGAGGTGACTCCCCTGCTGGAAGAGAACGTCAACCGCCACGCCATGTACTCAAGCCACTTGACGCACGGCCTCTTGGGAAACCCAAGCCACGGCCTCTCCAGGGACTCCAGAAGCGCTGAGCAGCCTGCCGGCGACCCAGCCGCAAACCACGAGGATGAGTTGGAAGATGCTCAGACGATGACAGAAGATTCCGGCTGCAGTGCCTGCACCTCGGAAGACGGGGCGAGTGCGGAGGACCTCTTGAAAAGCACCTCCTCTCCCGCTTTGGGGCAGCGCCTGGATTTGCTGAACATGCCCGCGCTCAAAGACTCGGAACACAAGCTGGCGTCCAGCAAAAAGCCTCCCTCCTCCCCTACGCTAGCGGAGAACAAAGTGCCGTACAGCAACGGAGTGCTGAAGGAAGACTGCCCCCATCGGAGGCACGACCAGCCGTGGTCGGCAGAAGCGGACGCAGACAACTCAGGGGGTAAGGATTCCTGTGTCCCGGTTTTCTTGCATGTGTCCTGTTTCTTGTTTTTTCACCAAATTTATTTGCAGCATTAACTGCCCATCATCAAAAGATTCCAGGGTTGTGTAAATAAAATGGAGTCCTGCTTCCTTGGAGAGCTATGAGCATCTTACACTGGGCTGCTCTGGGTGTAAAAGTAAGGGTTTGCTTTCTCTCCTTCAAAATACATAAACGCTAGAATTTTGGGGTCACTCTAGAAATGTATTGGCAGCAGATTCGGGGCACACCCAAAAGTCCTGCTTTTCTCAGCTTGTCATGAATGTGTCAGGTTTGCTATTGTGAGATGTAGAGGCAGCTTAAATGGCTTTAAAATGGAGTTTGGCTCTTTCAGTTGTTATTCTTAGGCCCGATAAGTGGAACCAGTGTTGTCGGAGGAGCTGTCATGGCTTTCCTGATGTATGTATGCATGTTGACTCTATATCCCTTCCGAAGGAGCCCAGGACGGCAGACATGTCCACAATTTAAAAACAGAATGAAAGCATTCTAAAACTGTTAAAACACTCTTAAGCTTCTCTGGGGAGGGCACTTCACAACCAGGATGCTACCACCAAAAAGGCCCACCCCTCATTAGTCGCCTACATGCCTCAGGTTGGTATGGGCATCTGGAGAAAGGCTTTTGAAGATGATATTGAAGTCTGGGCAGGTATATCTGGAGGGATATGATCCTTCAAGTAACCTGGCCCTGAGCTGTTCAGGGCTTTGAAACGTTAATACAAGCACTTTGAATTGGACCTGGAAATGGGCAGAAAGCCAGCACGGATGGTGTAGCCGTGCATGTTTTGATGATTTTTTTTTCAGTAGCATATTTTAATGACATGGGTTTATTTTTTAATTTTCTGTGTGATTTGTTTTGTACTTGTAAACTGCATAGAAGCTCCATTTGGCTTTTAAGCGGTATGTAAATTAATTGTTTTTATTATTGTTGTTGATGATGAGGATGATAACGTATTGTTAGGTGTTCCATCTCCCCTCACCTGCAAGATCTTTTGTAGAGGTCTGGACCCAGATATATTCTTAAAAGGTCCCCTTTTGCTGAATGGTGTTTATTTATATTTATAGACAGAACTGGCAGCTCAGGAGGCCCCGCAGAACTTGTTCACTCTGCTGTAAAGTATGTGTGTATGTTAGATTTACTAGAATTATCAAGGTGGGTTAGCGTGAACAGTCCTTAAACTCAAGATGACTTTAGAGGAGTTTTTTTTGGTGAACCAACGCAAACCTCTCACAATATTGCCTTTCTCTTAGACACAAGGGGCAGCTAGCCTGCAGCCTTCTTCTATCTATTGTTGGCCACCGAACTCCCATCAGCCCCAGCTGATGGGATTTGTAGTCCACAAGCATCAGGAAGGCAGTAGGGTCACATTATCTAAATGTGTGTAGAACTTCAGCCTTGGTTTCTAGTGTTTAATGCTGTATTGATGGCTGTGTTTGTTGAAGGCAATGAACACCCTGGCTCAGGCTGTTTTGGGATGGGGGTCTTCCCCTCCATGACTCTATGCCAAATCATTCCTCACCTGAGTTTCTTTCAGTAGCAAAGTGGAAAATTTGTAAGGGCCCTATGGGTTCTTGAACATTCACTCTCGGGAGCATGCATGTGGGAAGACGCAGGGTATACATAAGCTATACATTTAAAGCACATTCCACCCCCTGCAAAGAATCCTGGGAGCTGTAGCTTACCTCTCGCAGAGGGTTGTATCCAGTGCTAGCCCCACTCAAGAGTAGACCCATTGAAATTAATGGACATGGCTAACCTAGGCCCATAAATTTCATTGGGTCTATTCTGAGTAGGCCTTGTCTGCATACAACACAAGGAGACAATTCCCATAATTGTGTGTGTGTGTGTGTGTGTGTGTGTGTGTGTGTGTTGTAGAGGGGAGAGGTGCTTTAAATGTATGGTGTGCCATGAATGGAAAGACCCCCTTTCCCTCACCCTGCTTTGTAGAATAAGGAGGATCCTGTTTCAGAACTCCTGCTAGGTGTGTAGTTTCGTCCCGGCTCTTAATACTTCCTCATATTTCAAACTTATTTATTTATGTATAAGATTCTGTAACGTGCCTCAGAGCTGCGGAACTTATCTCTCTTTGTAGGTTCGGATGTAAATAGCATGGATTCAGTGGACATTGGCTGTGCCCTCAGAAATAAGGACAGCTGCCAGAATTCGAAGACCGGAGCAGATTCTAATAAGACAGAGCTTGTTATCTGGGAGATAGAGGTACCAAAGGTAATGCCCCACATTTCTGGTAGAATCTGGCCTAACCAAAGTTTTGCTTCATACCTGAAAGTGTCTTGACTATATTTACACATGGCTGTATCAATGCAGAATCATTCAGACGTAATGGAAACATATAAGACATGCCAAGCAGGAATTGTTGAATACATCTTCATATTAATCCTGTCTCCCTGAGGACTTGTGGATGAGCACGCGTGTTTAGACATGGAGGCGTTTGTGCAAGCAACTGGGATTTTGGGGGAGCTTTCAGGGCCCATAAGAGAGCAGGTTGGAGGAGAAATCCTGGAGACAGTTTTGCTCAAGGCGTTTAAAAAGACAGAGAAGTAGATGGGTGGTAGTCAGGGGCTTCTTTGGGTGTCTTACTGCAGCCTGAAGAAGCTCATCCTGGAGGGGAGTGGCCTGGCTAGTGTAGAAGCTTGGAAGAGTAGCTGACTTGTTGTAAGAAGATGGTGCATGCAGCTAAGCATAAAGAGCATAAACACCATAAGCAACTTGAGAGAGCAAATGCTTGTCAAAATAATGAAAAGAGGATGAAAAAGTAACCCCTCTTGGCACAGAGCCCCCAGCAAGTCATTTCTCCTGACTTCAGAACTCAGAAGGGATCTGATCTGATCTAGCTCAGCGTTGTTGACATGGGCTTGGCAGCAGCTCTCCCAGCCGTCCCTGGAGATGCTGGAGAATGGACCTGGGACCAGAAAAGCTGATGCTCTGTCTGCTATGACTCTTCCTCAAACTCTTTTGAGATGGAGCTTCAGCCTGACAGGTGGTGCTCTCCAACGTCTCCTTGGAGACCTCCAGTGAGGGAGACCCCAAACAGGGCCCACTTCAAGAAGGTTTTCACAATGTTCAGCCAGGACCCACCGACTTCAGCTTCATTCTGTGTGCAGAACGTTCCTTCATGCTGTTTTTGTTCCCTGCAGCATTTAGTCGGACGGCTGATTGGGAAGCAGGGGAGGTACGTGAGCTTCTTGAAACAAACGTCCGGTGCCAAAATCTACATTTCCACACTACCTTACACCCAGGACTTCCAGATCTGCCATATAGAAGGTGAGTGGGTGGGATGGCAGATGGCCAAGCGAGTGGTTTGGCTGGGTCTCTAGCGGGGTGTCTAACCAAGAGATTGTGTCTAGGGAGCTGCCTTTCCATGGGTCCCCTGTTGGAGGAAGTATGCCTCCGCACACCAGTTGCAGGTGGAATCCCGGGTGCGGAGAGGGCTGCTGCGCTCAGGTTCTGCTTGTGGGGCTTCCCTTGAGGACAGCTAGGAACATAGAAAGCTGCCTTTTGGGCCATCGGTCCACCTAGCTCAACATTGTCTACACTGACTAGCAATTGCTCTTTAGGATTTCAGACAAGGATTTCCTCCCAGGTGTCATGGCCTGGTTGGATGCAGAGGAATGGTGGGAGGAACCAGCTGGGGAACTCCCAAGGGAAGAAGGTTCAGGACTCAGGCAGTGGTGGTGGGACAACAATGAGTGGTCAGAGGGAGAAGACTGGGAGGAGGAGGTGTCGGAAGCTAATGAGGTACCAGGGCTCAGTGAATGAGGAGAGTTGGTGACAGAGAGAAGTCAAGAGGCAGAAGCTGAAGCTGGTGAGTGGGATGAGGGAGGCCAAGAGGCAGAGATGAGTCAGGCTGCTGAAGAGTCACAGGTGTCTCCCCGTCCTGCTGCGACAAGCTCCCTTCCCACCTGGTCTCCCAGAACCAGAAGAGGCATGAAGCGGGAGGAGGAAAGACAAGCACGCTGGGGCAGTCTTGGGTCGTTGGAAAAAACCCTGGAGAGGAGGAGGAGACATAGTCAGCTGTGGGGAGGCAGGGACCTTCAGTCTCATTGACTGGTCCAGGGGGGGTAAGACCTACCAGGGATGAGTTCCTGTGTTCATTAGGCCTGACACTCCACCAGGTCTGTGCAGACCCTTTTCTTGCTAATAAGCAGTCATAGCTAATAAGTGTCATAGAGCTCTACCACTGATCTATGGCCCTTCCCCACCTGGTGGGCAATTGTGAGAACAGAGTGCTGAGCTAGATGGGCCTTTGGCCCAATGCACCAGGACTCCTCTTACACCCTTACATGTCACATGGTTGGTCCACCTAGCCTGGCAGAAGCTGTTCTGCTGTTATCTGTGCAGCCTTGAACAAGTCACTCTTGTTGTGGCGAGCATAGTTAATCACCCTGCCTCACAGAGATGCAGACAAGTTTGATCTCCTGCTTTGTCTCTGGAAACCTCCTAAGCATCTGCCTCTTTTTCTCTCCTTCACCCCCACCCGCCCCCCAAAAGGCTCTCAGCAAAACGTCGACAAAGCCCTGAGCCTGATTGGCAAGAAGTTCAAGGACCTGAGCCTCACCAATATCTATGCTCCACCACCTCCCCCGCTGCCAGTGCATTCTCTCCCCATGACCTCCTGGGTAAGCGCAGGCTCTGTGGGATATCTTTGGGGCATAATAATAATAATAATAATAATAATAATAATTTATTTGTATCCCGCCCTCCCTGGCCGAGGCCGGGCTCAGAGCAGCTAACATCATAAAAACAACACTATGCATAAAAACCGACATCAATTAATTAAAATACATCTTAAAATTAATTCAGACAAGTTAAAATCGGGGCAGGTGGCAATTATCAGGTTGGAATTGAGAGTGGTTAATACTTGCTGGGGCCAACTGTTTCCACTGATCATACAAAGACCTGTGAGCGGGTTGGGGGCCGCCTTTGGGCTTGTTTTATACAAAGGAAAGTAAGTCAAACTGCATCCTGCTCAAAGGTCTGGCGGAACAGCTCCGTCTTGCAGGCCCTGCGGAAAGATAGATGGCAAATCCCTTAAAGAGCTGCATGAGACACCGGCTGTTGAAGGCGTCAGACTCACTGGTTCGTGGGCTGCAGCATCATGTGGGTCCCTTTTCGGCAGGTCTCTGTAGTTAAGACTCCTGGGCAGTGGCGTGCAGTGAATCTTTTTTGTAGTGGAACAATTAGGGCCAGAGTACACAAGCATTGCGCCTCCCTAAGCTGGGCAAAAGGTTCCCAGGTTTTGGGAAGGAGGCGCCAGACTTCTAACACTTCAGTGCTCTGATTTACCAGGAACATTTAGGGGACTAGCCTGGTGCCCCTTGTCCACTGACAAGGGTTCTCAAAATGTGTAATGTGTTCCCTCATATATAACAGGCTTTGTGTAGGTGTGGGTAGATCTGTACAGTTGTGTGGGTTTTTTTAAGGCACTTTTAAAATTTTATGTTTGGTTTGCAGTTGAAGGGCAGGAATGGAAGATATTTGCCCCCTAGGGCAGGAATGGGGGACCTGTGGCCCTCTCCCTGGCCACACACACAAACACACAGAAATTCTGAGGATGGAGGGGCTATCATGAGGGCCCCCTTTGCCGATCTCAGCACCTGAGAGAGCCTGTAGGAACGGGGGCGGTCTTTCTGATATTGGGGGCCTGAGTCATTTAGGGATTTAAACACTAACGTGAACACATTGAATTGGGTTTGGGAATGAATGGGCAACCAGCGCCGCTGTTTTAAAATGGGGTTTTACGTGAGACCTAAGTGGGAAACTCAGCCATTAACATGGCGGCTGCATTGTGGAGCAACTGATGTTCCCCAGCCATCTTCAGGGGCCGTGCTCGTTGCAATAATCCAAGATGTTACCTGAGTGGAAAAACATGTTCTCTCTCTGACAGCTCATGCTTCCAGATGGGGTAACGGTGGAAGTGATCGTGGTCAACCAAATCAACGCGGGACACTTGTTTGTGCAGCAGCACACGCACCCCACTTACCACGTCCTCCGTAGTCTAGACCAACAGATGTACCTGTGCTATTCCCAGCCGGGTATTCCCACCATGCCGACACCGGTGGAGGGTGAGTGCTTCTCCTTTCGATGTCTCTGGGACGCCTTTGGTAGAATCTGCCTGACTTCCACCGTCGCTGGCTCTTAGCACAAGCCGCTTGCATTGGATGTGGAAAGGGATCCAGCAAACACAGCTCTTCCCATGTAGTTCCCCAGGCCTTTGATCAGCACAACATTGCTCCCCCCTGTGTCTTGCAGAATTTAAAAAAGCACCCAAGTTTGTTTTATTATTATTTATTTATATTCATTTTCCATATTACATCTATACAAAGCATACCTTAGTCTTACACTTCGCGACTTACCTTCCATTTATCTTATTTCATATTCTTAATTTGCTACATCTCCTTTTATTTTCTCCCCCGTTTATTGTTTTCCTTGTCTTTGTCTTGTCTGCTGCTGCCCATAGGCTTATCCCACTTGCCAGTTAACCTTAAGACCACTCTTCTTTAAATATTCTTCAAAATGCTCCCACTTGTCTCTTGTTTTCTTTCCATCTTAATTCCTCATTTTGGCTGTTAAGCTTGCTAACTAAAGCAACACAAGTTTAGTTCCTCCAGGCTGCTGCTGGTGTTGCATATACCAAACAAACAATTAACAGTCCTTAGGCTGGGGAATGCCTAAAATGTTCCTTGCCACAGCCCAGCTTGCTAAATCTCTCTATTCTAATCTCTCTGTCCTGACTCAGTTCTATTAGTTGAGCTGCTCTGATGTCAGAGGAGCAGGGTGCCAAGGGAGCAAACAGAAGTCTCTTTCTTTCTTTCTTTCTAAACTGAAATTACAGCCATAAGAAGCTGCTTTATATATTTCATTTAATTTTCCTTTTATTTGGTATACCACCTTTCTATATTGCTATACACAAGGAGGTTTTCACCAACAAAATATACAACACACACATAATAATCTGATCCAATTCAGATAGTTATCTTATAGAATCAGACCTGTGGTCTATTTAGCTCTATGTTGATAAGCAGCAGCTCTCCAGGGTTTCAGTCAGAAGTCTCTTCCAGCCCTACATGGGAGATGCTAGGGATTGACTCTGGGACGTTCTGCATGCAAAGCACATGCTCTACACTGATGTTTCCCAAACTTGGGTCTCCAGATGTTTTTGGACTACAGTTCCCATTATGCCTGACCATTGGTCCCACTGGCTAGGGATGATGGGAGTTGTCCAAAAAACAGCTGGATACTCAAGTTTGGGAAAACTTGCTCTACACCCTGAGCTAAGGCCCTTCCCAGAGTTCTAGAAGCCATTTCAGGTGAACTGAGCAGCATTTTGGATCACAAACAAGTCAGTCAGTTCTCTATAATATAGTCACCAGCCACTCAGAGATAAACCTGCCACTTATGGCCTATGATGGAATGAAGAATTGATAGTGGTTTTATTATTAAAGTGCCAGTGCTGTCAGAAGTGTATTCAGGCTGTCTCTTCAGGTGATGCAAACGTAGGAAAAAGTCAAACCAATGGCTAAGGTGCCAAGTTAATTTCAGTCTTCACTTTAGATTCTACCTTTAGCACCGAATAGCATGAGAGTCATTCTCCCAGTTTTCGGTTTGCTCCTAAAAGAGAGTAACAGCAACCTTATCTTTGAGTGCTTAAACTGTAAAGGTTCAAAGTGGGTGAGTGATTGCTGGGGAACATGATGAGGCTTTTGCAATGAACAGGAAGTTGGAAACTCTCAAAGACTTTTTGCATGAAAAAGAGAAATAATGACACTTAGATGCCATTATTGAAGATAATGCTTGTTTATAGAGAGTGGTGTTTTGGGGTGTTATATTGGAGTGGTTGAAGTGAATATTGTTTATATATAGTGGAAAAATGAAGAATTGGAAGTTCTTTAGTTTCTGAACTCTTTTCTTTCTCTCGCTTTTAATACCTTTTCTATATCCTGTTTTGTTATTTCTTTCTCCTCCCCCCCTCTGTTTATATCTTATTTAGATTAATGTTTTAAGGTAAAGGTAAAGGGCCCCCTGACTATTAGGTTCAGTCGTGACTGACTCTGGGGTTGCGGCGCTCATCTCACTTTATTGGCCAGGGGAGCCGGTGTACAGCTTCCGGGTCATGTCATTAATGTCTTAGTTTGGATTAAAAAAAGATACCTGATATTAAGCCTTGTAGTTCTTTTTATAAACCCTAATATAGTTTATTCTCTATAAAAAAAGAAAAGCTGGTGTGTGATCTCACATTTGATCCTTTCTTTCGAACTCTTGTGCTTTGCAGTTGGTGTTGTCTGTGCTGCGCCAGGCATGGAAGGGGCCTGGTGGCGAGCGCAAGTAATTGGCTACTTCAAAGACACCACTGAAGTGGAGATCAGATACGTGGACTATGGTGGATACGAGAGAGTCAAGATTGACACACTCAGGCAGATCAGGTGAGCGGCCCAAGAACTGCCCTCAGAAATGGCAGATAGCGGGTGCCTGTCCCTTCCCATCATTAAGGAGAGGGGAAAGTTGTCCTGTAAAAATGGGGATGAAGGTGTGATACACAGAGAAGGCGGCCCTTAGCTTTTCAACCTGTTCAGCACTCAAGCCCTCAAGCCACACACTTCTGTTGCTGCCCCTAACAAGCTGTGATAGTTTATTGGTTGAGTTCTTGTTTTCTGGCAATCTCTCACCTTGCTTTTTTTTTTTTAAGGTCTGACTTTGTAACACTACCTTTCCAAGGAGCAGAGGTCCTCTTGGACAACGTAGTGCCACTTCCAGGTAATGTCAGTCATTGGTGGCAGATTTTTCCTTTTACCTTTAGGACTTGTATTTGTGCCTGTGTAAGTGGCACGGTTTGTGTCTAGGGGTGTGAGATGAGGTGGAGGGTTTTTGGGGAGGACCCACCATTCAAACTGCGTAAGAACAGCAGTTAACAGCAGAACAGTAGAGCCTACTCAGGCTCTACTTCCAGCTCATGTTGCATTCTTGCAGAGAGGGGGCTGTTTACGGAGGTTAAAGCCAGTAGGATTAGGCTGTCCCTTCAAAGTTAATCAGAGTCATGCCTTAGTAGTGTCTGTAATTGGGACCCTCTTCAGTGAAACCATGGGAGAATATTCCCAAGTTCTCCCTGGCCCCTCTTGCATGACCTGAACTCTTCCTGTGAAAGGTTAGGGACTGGATAGTGGCTGTTTTCAAACATAACTTGGTCTCTTCCATCATGCTGGATTACTGCATGTACAGCTGCAGTAGCAGACCAATTTTGCAAAAACAAAGGTGGGTGGAATGGCGCAGTCAAAGGTAGACTGCACCTTTTGAGGGGGGAGCACTACTCCTTCAATTTTGTGGAGAATTACCATATCTAAATATTTATACACTGCTGTTTCATTGTGTTTTTTTTCATGCACCAACATGGTTTACGGAGGTTGTACAATAGAAACCATGTAAAAAAAGTTGAAGTTGCAAATTGTCCACTAACTGTTACAGAAAGTTGTTTTCTTAATGGCCTGCATAACTTTGCTGGCATAGAAGTTTTCAGTTTTCATTTAAAAGTTACACCAGATTGTGTTCTGCTATTTGTGGGGCTGTGTGTGTGAGCACAAAGGCAAGAGGTAGGCAGATCAAACTTGGCAATTCCCTGATGGGTTTGTGTGAAAACCAAAGTTCTTTGAAATCACATTAAGACAGGCCCACCAACCAAAATAGCGTCTCAGGCAGGCAGGTGTAATGTTAAGAATCAAGGAACAGGATGCCTCTTGACCATACAGTCAAGCCAGTAATTTTTTTATTTCCTTCTTATTACCAAAATTTAGATACTATATGTCCCGCATGTTAAGGTCTCTGAAAGAAGAATTAAAGTACATGTTAATGATAGGAGTCCAGTGATGGAAGTGGGGGTGATATTGTTTGGGGAGGGGTTGTCCTCCTTCACCCCAATGTGGCACCTCCCATGCCGTGCTTTCATATTACATCACTGATGTGCTAGCTTTCTCCATGCAAGCAGGATCTCTTGTTTGTGTTGGAGCAGCTTTCAGATATACAGGAAAATGGTGCTACCTTAAGAGTAACACTCCTTCCTTCCTTTCCTTCTTTCCTGAAAGATGACGATCACTTTTCATCTGAGGCGGACACAGCTGTTAGTGAAATGACCAGAGGTACACCTTTGCTTGCACAGGTATGTGTCATGGCTGTGAGCTTTTATTGTTTAGTGCTGCCTTTTGTTGTGAGAAACTTGACACAAGGCTCTAGTCCTACCTGGGAGCCATCCCCTTGGAATGTAGTGGGGCTTACTTCTGAACAGCACTAAAAATCATGGCAGCAATGACCGTTTCTTAAAACAAGGTTAGACACTTTTCAGCTTAGTTAGGCTAAGTACTTACGCAGCTGCAATGCCTTACTCTCCTCATCTTTGCCAAGAAAACCAGAACAACTTGGCTCTGCCCATTTTTACCACCATGTGACCTTATCGGTCCCACTTACATGACCTCCTCGGCTACAGCCACCCCACCAGGGGCTGCCAGCCACTGCTGCTCATGCTCCATTCGGAGCCACAGAATAATGTTTGAAGACAAAAAGCATACTGAACTTGTAATACATTGGCCATTCCGAGCCAGGCAGATTTGTATACTGAGCCAGGTAATTGCAGATTTTGGTGACATTGCTAGTGTAAAACTGGAAAGATCACTTCCGCTGTCTTTAGGCATGTTGCAACGTACCAGAATATGTCTGGAGGATAATTGTGCACTCTCTGCTGCTACTGCTCCTCTCTTGCTAGGCATTAATAGACATCTCTGATTCCAGGTGACAAATTATGACAGTGCAACGGGCTTGCCCCTAATACAGCTGTGGAGCATGATGGGAGAAGAGGTATTTATGCTACTAAATAGAGCACCGGGACAGGATCTTTGATGTATAAATGGGCCCAGGAATTAAAACTACTCCAGCATAGCCAACATGGTGCCCTCCCGATGTTTCTCATTAGCCCCAGTCAGCGTAAACTGTGATTGGGGACGGTGGAGATTTCAGCTGAGCAACGTATTGAGGGCACCATGTTGGGTATCCCTGCTCAAATCCAGTGCATTGCCATTTCATAGGCTAGGCGCAGGCATCCCCAAACTTGGCCCTCCAGCTGTTTTGGGACTGCAGTTCCCATCATCCCTGACCACTGGTCCTGTTAGGTAGGGATGATGGAAGTTGTAGGCCAAAAACATCTGGAGGGCCAAGTTTGGGGGTGTCTGGGCTAGGGGATCAGAATAAAGGATGGATATTTCAGTAAATCTGCATGTGAACACGCCTTGTATTCAGAATGCTATGGGTAGCAGGCCAGCGCTAACCATGCCATGAAATGGGCCCATTGATGTTAATGGAGAGGATTAACTTCGAGTTGTTAAATTTCACTGGGTCTACTCTGAGTTGGCTACAACCCTATGTTTTTCAGTTTCTTTGTTAACCTGTGGGGCTGGGGGGGGGGAAACGAACCTGTAGGTCCCTCCAGATGTTGCTGGACTCAACTCCCATCGTCCCAGACCACTGGCCATGCAGGCCTGGGGCTGATGGGAGTTGGAGTCCAGCAATTCCTGGCAGGCCTCGCAGGCTGCTTATCTCTGCCTTAGCACAGGACAGCAGAACTTCTAACACCTTTCATTTTCTCCTTTTCCAGTTGGTGTCTATAAACCGAACCTTGGTGGAAAGAGGGTTTGCGCAGTGGATCGAAAGCTACTAGGAGAGTTCTTGGCTGTCTTCTTGACTAATCTTTCCTCTCCCCATCCCTGACTTATCCCTTCCCCACCCTCTTTTTTTGGCACTGTTTCGGAATTGGGTTTGGCAATCTTTCCTCCTCCCCGCCCCAGCATATGTCACTTCCGCTTTAATTCTGTTTTGATGTATTCATCTGATGGACACAGTTTATTTATCATACCTCATTTTGCAGAAAAGCAAGGAGTTGAACCATAAGCCATAAAAATACTGCAGCTTTAAAACGCAGCTCTTTATTCTGCCCCCCCTACCCCACCCTGATCTGGGTCCAAAAGCGAAATTTAAACAAAACTTTAATGAAGGGGGAAAAGAAATGTCTGGGGAGGGTTGTATAACACTTGTCCTCAAAGGATTTAAGATGTGTGTTAAACACAACCCAGTTTTCTAAACTGGCTGCCTTAACATGAAGGCGACTCTATGTGGAAGTAAAATTGTTTTCAGACCTAGCCCCCTCACAGACACAAAAAGAGGAAAAAAAACCCTGTGGTGATTGATCTGAATTTTGGGCGCATGACATAGACCTGTGCTTCCAAACAGCAAAAGCAAGTCTTCTTCAGCTGTGCTTTGGGAGGCTGAAGGACTGAATGAACAGATAGCGCTCATTAACAGTATATTGTTGACTTTTTAAAATTACAGCTGTTTTCGCAAGAGATGGAAAACACTGCTTTGCAGACCTCCTTAAAAATCATGTGATTAAGTGAACCACTACAGCTGCAGCTGTCTTAAATCCCTAGATCATGTTTAACAACAACAAAATTGATTGCCAAGCCTGATTGTAATTCATAACTGTTTTTCTAGATGTGCAAAAACCTATGTAAATATATATAAAAAATCATTGTAATATTTTGTACAAGAGAAAAAAAAATACTGGAGAACTAAAAAGGGAACTTCAAAGAAAATCAGTTTTTTTTCCTTTTTTGCCACACCAAAATGTCCTCTGTAGGTAGAAAACGGTTTGGGGCGTGTTGTTGTTGGCAGCTAAGCATTAGAAGGTCTGAGGAGGATCCTTCATAGGCTCTTGTGTACAGGATGGCTTTTCTCTAGCTTGCTGTATGGTAGGAACAGTAATCAATGGACTCTGCTACTTTTTGCTGTACAGAACTGACGTAAAGTGGGGGAAAGTTAACATTTGGAATTAATATTTCAGTGGTGTGTCTCAATTTATTTCTTTTGCTCCTTTTTAGATTGGTTTCAAATGTGGAATAAAAAAAAAATCAAGTAATTTAAGCTAATTTAATACTATTAAAATATAAATGAATCTAAACATGGCCATTGAGTTGGGAGTTATTACTGGCGGGGGAAGATGCTTGGGACTACTTTTTTTATTTAGACCACCAACTACAGTTTTTCAGATTTGCCTTCTCATATAAAATATCCGGCACAATTCCTGTTCCTAAGATATTGTAGGACACCTTGTATGTGAAAACAAGTTGATAACTTTCAACAATTAAATGCCTCCAAATGCAAGGAACTTGTATTGAATTGTTTTGGTAAGACGCTTGCCTATCTCTTCAAAGACTTGAGTCTGTATTCAAATGGTCACATTAGAAGCTGATTTTGGGCAGCTTCAGAGCTCCTCTAGGATGGGAGTAGGGAACATGTAGTCCTTCAGATGTTGCTCATCATCTAATTATTGGCCATGCTTGAGTTCAGCGACATTTGAAGGGCTACAAGTTCCCCATCCCTGCTGTAGAAAGCTGTGTGTAATTATCTAGAAAAATGAGTGTTGGGTGTAGTTGCCTTTTGCAGGATCCAATCTATGTGGGCTTTAGGATTTGCTTTCTTTCTTAATAAAAGTTTAAGTGTGTTCAAGGGAAGCTTAGCTGCTAAATTTGCTTAAATTTGTTCAGAAGATCTAGAATACATTACCACCGTCACCCCTTGAATTATAGCATACTTTTTTGTTATTGTTAAGCACCTGGGGAAATAGTTCTAATATGCCTTCTTTTCCACACTTCCTTCTGCTCTGGATACAAATGGTATGAAAATGGGGATGCAAAAACAAAACAGTCTGGGCTTTTTTCTTAGAATCATTAAATTTCAAGCCTTCATGAATGCAAAAGTACTCCGGCAGGCAAATGGACAAGTAACATTTTTGACTGGTTGTGGGTGCGTCTTCAATGCCTCAGTATATTAAAACTGGGATAAAAATATACAAAATAAAGAGCATGGAAACTCCCATAAAACTACACGGATTCAAAAATCTTCGATGCCACTCTCTTCCCACCTGTTACCAGCAATGTGTTTTAAAGCCTGTTTGCAATTTTGATACAAGGTCAAGCATCAAAACTTCAGCTGTACAGAGTTCCTTGATCATTGAGAGAGCACTGTTGACAAGTGTTCGGATTTCTGCTTATAAAATCTTGTTGCTAAAAACATGCTTCGTGTCAGCTGGTCTGTTGCGATTTCTTCACAATGTCTGGTTGTTGCAGTGGGCGGATGGTATAAGAACTACTGGCCCAACTCATGTTGCCTGGAGCCTACAGTATTACAGTTCGCCTTTTCAGAGTGGAATAATGGGATGTTCATAAACCTCACAATACATGACTGACGGATTGTGTTTATCCTGCTGGAGGCCACACAGGCCTGGTCAGTCAGATACACATCACCCAGACCACACTGTGACAAGGAGAGAGAGTGGTTGCATTGATGCGCCGGATGCAGGGAAGCAAATTACCCTATATCCTCTAGTAGGCAGGTGGTGATATTGCTAGATTCCAGCACCCATCATCCCTTACTGCTGGGCACTGGAATCTAATATTGGGAGAGCCACAGATTGACCAATCTTGTACAGTCTCTTCCTTTCTAACAGGGATGGGGAAACACAATGGACTTCAGTTCCCATCAGCCTTAGGTAGCTCGGCCAACTGTCAGGACTGATGGGTGTTGAGGTCCAACAACAACTTGAAGACCACACAGGTTACCCCTCCCAGCTTTGAAGGTGTGAAATTAGCAATGTACTTGGCTGTTAAGAAGTGCATTGCAGCCATGGTTACAAGGCATGCAGAATGTGGTACCCAGAGTGGGAAAGGTGAATGCATGTTCATCTCACTAAAGTAGCTTCCTACTTCTCCATCTTGCCTGGTGTTGGCAACTTGCTGGCACCAGTTCTGCAGTGTCTTTCCCATCACTTTGCTTCCCTGATTCTAGAGTTGCCAGGCACTGAACATTTTTTTGCACTTTAAAAATGAGAACAGATAGCCCATTCTTTCTAGTGTCTCCATCCCACCCAAATGGCTGCAGGCCTAAGATGATAATTCATAGGAATCGGACCCCTGTGCACACTAATCTGGGAGTAAGCTCAGTTGAACATGAGTGGTATTTCTGCATCTAGAACATGCAGGAATCTGGCCAGATTAAGATTGGTTGAAGCCTTGGAGATTACTAAATTGAGCTGGAGGAACAGAAAATTGGCATTGTATCCAACTCTGGCCCCAGCAGCACTATACATTTAAAGCAGTATCATACCACTTGAAACGGTCATGGCTTCCTGCAAAGAATCCTGGGAACTTGTTAAGGGTGCTGAGATTTGTTAGGGGACCCCTATTCACCTCCATGAGCTTACAGTTCCCAAAGTTTTTCAGGAAGAGGGATTTATTATTAAACTACTCAAGACCTGAAATTCTGAGAGGCAAATAAGGGACTTTTAGCAATTCTGCACCCTTAAGAAACTACACTTCCTAGGATTCTTTGGGGGAAGAAGTCATGACACTTCAAAGTAGTATAAATGTGTGGTTCAGATGAGGGTCTTAAGTTCTATGCAGAATGGACCCATTGAAATTGATAAGCCTGAGTTGGTTGTGTCCATTAATTTAAATGAGTCTACACTCTGGGTAGGGACGCGGGTGGCGCTGTGGGTAAAACCTCAGCGCCTAGGACTTGCTGATCGTCAGGTCGGTGGTTCGAATCCCCGCGGCGGGGTGCGCTCCTGTTGCTCGGTCCCAGCGCCTGCCAACCTAGCAGTTCGAAAGCACCCTCGGGTGCAAGTAGATAAATAGGGATCGCTTACTAGCGGGAAGGTAAACGGCGTTTCCGTGTGCTGCGCTGGCTCGCCAGATGCAGCCTATCACGCTGGCCACGTGACCCGGAAGTGTCTTCAGACAGCGCTGGCCCCCAGCCTCTTAAGCAAGATGGGCGCACAACCCCAGAGTCGGACACGACTGGCCCGTACGGGCAGGGGTACCTTTACCTTTACACTCTGGGTAGGGCTAACAGCTACATCCCATGGTCCTTTTTCAGTGCAAAGATTCTGGTTAAAGGAACCAACATTGGATGCCTATGATATGAGGACGTGTCTCCACAACATCCATGTAAGGTAGGTTAGGATGAGAGCCAGTGACTGGTCTAAGGTGGGAAGCGAGGAAAAGTGAGCTGCGTGAGTTTAAAATGTGAAACTGCACAGGCTCAGAATATTTGCTTCATCTTAAGGTTGGCAAGAATGATGTTTGTTTGTGTTTTCCTGCCAGTTGTGAAATGCCAGCCTCCATCGGCCCTGTATGTATGTGTGTGGGGGGGGAACACTTGTCCCCCACCCCCAAAAGTGCACTCTCAGCAGCTGTCAATCAAAAGTCCAGCCATTTTGAACTCTGCACTTAATGGTTTTATGCTGCATTTGGAGGTTTATTTTGTGGCCTCATAGCGCCGAGGTGTTGCCTTCAAATCCAGCCCTTCTGACGCCACTTGATTTACTAAAATGCTTATTCTGATGTATGGAAATCAGGGAATTGAAGTTCCCGTTAGCAAGGACCCTAGAAAGATGGATTCCAAACTTCTTAGCAAGGGAATAACAGGCTTCTGGTTCCAAAAAGGAAAAAAAACAACAACTCCTGGACCTAGAAACTCCTGAAAAAAGGAGGCCTGACTTGTCCAGTGTTCAATACTGGCCCAATCCATGCTATTCTTTAAAAAAACCTATCTCACCACTTTTAACAGCCAAGGTTTTCCCCAAATGATCCTAAGAACTGGATTTTTTAAAGGGTGCTGAGAGATGCAGGGTAACCCCTATTTTCACTCACAGAGTGGTTTGACAATAAATCCCTCTTCCCAGTGAAATCTGGGAATTGCAGCTTGCGTGTGTGTGACAGCACTCACTGGTACAGAGTACCAGGACACCTTTCTTGTTTTGCTGCCTGTGGCAGCCATTTTGTACTCGGCATTTGAGTACTGGTGCCTCCTTTTTATATATATATACCCAAAAACGCATTGCTCTTGACAACACTCAGCGCTCTTAGCAGACTACAGGTTCCCAGAATCCTTTGTGGAAAGGCATGGCAAAGGTGCATTGAACGTAAAGGGTGCAAATATGGCCAGCGTTTCCGTTCGACACCCTATATAGAGAGAGAACAAATCAAGTTTACATTTGCCTAAAGCCCTAAATAATACCCTGACCCAGGCAGCATACGCTACCTTCCACAACTTAAGTTTGGATTTTCGCCCCCTCATGGGCCTGAGCTTGCCTGTAGCTGCCTAGTTTCTGGCTCCTCCTTCCACCTCCGTCCTTCCAGTTACCAAGGCCGCTCTGGCTCTCAGTCATCCTCCATTCCAACCCAAGCTGAGGAGATGATCGGCCCGTCAGCCTCCAAACAGCCATCTTTTCCTGCTCTACTTTAGAGGCCAGACAAGGCAGCAGGTAAGCAAGGCCGAGAGGGAGGAACAAGGTGGTTGTGTTCAAGCTGGAAGGATCAAACTACTGGAGAGTTTCAGGCCTGAGAGAAGCCAGAGGAGAGTGTGGGATGAGGCCATGTTGGCTGAGTTGTCATGTAGCTCCTGCTACAGAGCAAACCTCCAAGGGTTAGGCCCTTCTATACCCAGAAGGGTTGCTGTGGCCCGCAGGAGAGTTTCTCCTTCAACAATTTCAGAAGCCATCATTATAAGAATTCGAAGGTCTCAGATATAGAATAAAGGTCCATAATGTACAAGGCAAACACACATGCATAAGTAAGTAAGTAAGTAAGTAAGTAAGTAAGTAAGTATATAAGCCATGGGTTTGAAATGGCTTCAGGAGAGCATTTTGGACTCTCCCAAATTTACCTCAAATATTTCTCTGCAAGGAGGAAGGAAATGGGAAAAGCTTTCTGATGGTCTTTGGAGGGTAGGGGGTTACACCCCCCTTTTTGAATGCAGTTTGGCAAGTATCTGTTAAGCTGAGCAAACTATCAATATGTGAGAGAGATTCAGGAACTAAAGGCTCAAAGGAATAGCCAGGCTACCCAGAAAATGCAATCAAGTAAGGCATTATCAGGTATCCTGGCAGACAGGAGAGAAGCAACACTCTCAATTTTCTGCTGGAGATATTTTGGGGGGTGGTTTTGGGCTACAAGGTGGACAGTATTCAAAGTCTTTATAGGGTCTTGAGCACCATTGTTCTGGGTCTCTCCTACCTCCTTGCAAGGATTGGGGGGGGGGGACTCTGTTGCAACAGAAAAAAAGATCTGCCTTGCTTCCTATGGATCTTGCCTCCATTCACTCATATCTGATCATGGACTTAGGGGACTCAGTCCCTTGGGGAGTTGGGCATCAAAAGCCAACCCCCATATTTTTTCTGTAACACCTACTCTGCAGTAACATCAGCGTGGCTGCCGCCATTTTATGTAACAGCATTCCTATCAAGATATGACCCATGCCAACTTTCTGCACTTTCCGTTAACAATTGAATACGTTTTTGTGTGTGACAATCTTTCCCAGTGGGATGAATGGGCCTCTGCCATGGGTGGCTAGTTATATGTACTGTGTGGTTTTTAAAAGACATTTGCTATTGTTTCCTGTAGTGTTTTTAACTTTCTTTTAGCTGCTTTTATTATGTTTCGTACATTGCCTTGAAATATATATGTGGAAGGCAATTAATAGAGGGGAGGGGCAGGCATCTGCCATGGGTCCATTGATAATAGCTCCTTGGATCTGTTCTTCTCCACCCATTGCACCTTGCAGACAAAAGATGAAATCTCATTCGTTTACCAAATCTCTCCAGAAATCTGAATGTAAGGCTGTTTCCCTTTAACTAGGATGCATGGTAATTCCCTGCAGTTGCAGCTAACTCCAGCTGCTTTCTATCAGAGTCCCTACCAGCAGCCTCTGTGGAATTGGGGCCCTGATTCTGCACCCAAGTAAGTAAGAAACACAGGGTACTCTAGGGCTCATTTGCAGCCCTTGTGGGGTTTGGGGGAGCGTGGTTGTTTGATGGAAAAAGCATTAGCCAAGTGAGGGAGTGGAGGAAGCAAAAGACAAGACGTTTGAAGTTCCTGTGAAAGGGTGCACAGTTCTGACTCCCATTGATATGGCTCAGCTGGATACCTGTCAGCAGATGGCGATGCAGCACAAGCTACCAAATACTAGTTCCATGCGTTTTAGTCTGAGATAACTGAGAGTAGCAGTGGGCTGCTATTTCACCCTGTGGCTGTTTCTCCACCTTTCCCCACTCCAAGGTGCTTCGTTAGACTCCTGAGAAAGTTTGCTGCTTAAACCTGTAACACTTCTAATTTGAAAACAGCATGGCAAGCAATACTAGAGAATTATGAAACATGCTTTTTTTGTATTAGCTGATCAAAATAAAAGGGGTTCTAGATATTTTTAAGTTTATTTATTTAAAAACATTTCTAAACCACTTACTATTATTATTTTAACCTCTAAGTAGTATGCAAAAATACAACAGCACCAAAACAATAAAAAAAAATTCCTTCCAGTAGCACCTTAGAGACCAACTAAGTTTGTTATTGGTATGAGCTTTCGTGTGCATGCACACTTCTTCAGATACCAAAACAATAAGACAGCATTATTAAAAAAGGGAATTCAGTAACAAGAAGATCCAACTTTACGGTTCAGGGAAAGCCTGACTTTGGTATCATGTATGATGTGCAAGACATTTGAAGCAGCTAACAGTTGCTGCTTCATGTGTGGAAGTAACAGGGCATTCCACAGTTTGTGGGCAAAGGCAGAAAACACCTGTTTTCAGGTTATAATCTACAGGGTGATAATCTATAGGGTGTGGTGTCACAAGTAAAATTTCCCCAGATGATCTAAGTGATTTTATAGGTCTATATAGGGGCAGGTGGTCTTTTGGGTAACTTGGTACCAAGGTCTTCAGGTGTTATATATGAGTAACAAGACCATGCAAATGGTCTGTTAGGTGACTGATAGGCAGTGTTATTTGTACTTGCACCATCCTCTCCATTCTGTTCCTTATTTGGGACCCAAATTCTTATTCTTTCCCGCATCTATGGCTATAGCTTCCACTTTTCTAATGATGATCATTTACATGTCTATTCGTTTTATGCACTGTTTTGGGAGTCATACAATACTTTTTAAAGTGTTGGCCTAGCTGAAGGTGATTTGTTCTTGGCTTCAGGTAGCAAAATGTTTTGGGCAGGCACTGTCTTCTGTCTAGGGTTGCGCATCTTTCTATATTTGCAACTTCACAGACAAGATCGAATGAAACTACAGTGGTACCTTGGTTTAAGAACAGCTTAGTTTATGAACAACTTGGATTAAGAACGCTGCAAACCCAGAAGTAGGTGTTTTGGTTTGTGAACTTTGCCTTGGAAGCAGAACATGTTTTGCTTCCTGTTGAGTGTGTTCCATTTGTAAATTGAGTCCCCCCGCTGCTATGGGAAAGCACGCCTTGGTTTAAGAACAGACTTCCAGAACGTATTAAGTTCATAAACCAAGGTACCACTGTGTGCTGTTAATTCCCTTTATTTTAAGCATCACTTGTGTTTATTCTTTTTATATAGTAGCCACAGGCAAATGTACCTTTTAGCTCCTCTCCCCTGCCCAATGATCTAAGTTTCCTTTGGGGATGAGCTGTAGTATCTGCTTTGCATGCAGAAGGTCCCAGGTTCAATCGCGGCTTCTCCAGATAGGGCTGGCAGAGACCTCTTGTCTACAACCCTAGACAGCTGCTGCCAGTCAGTGCAGATTACACTAACATAGATGGATCAAAGGCACATGTGCCTGTGCTTAAAGAAAATAAAAACGGGAATTGTTCAAAATGGTCTGGCTTTCTCCCAGACTACTATATCAGATAGCAGTCTGGTTTGAATGTAATGCTAACCTGTAGTTTTAACTTTGCAAGAATCAACTTGTTCAAACTTCTGGCTCACGTGCTTTTTTGCCTGCTGCCCCAGTTCTGCTGCGGCCATGAGGAGATTAGGAGTATCCGCTTCCTGGTTTAAAATAACCGGAATTTCTCATTGCATTTGTACTGGGAACGTGGACTACTTTTAAACAATGATTTGTTGAAACAAGACAGGATCACATTTGCTCCTCGCTTGTTTCAGTTGCGTGTAAGACTGCTCAAGAAATCTGGCGTATATAAAGCTTGACGTGCATTTTTTCTTACACAGTTGAAAAATATATATATAGATTCATTCTAGGCGTTTGTTTTACAAAATAAAAAGATTCAGGAAAGTATTTTATGTTGCAATAAAGGAAGAGGGTGCAATTTGTATATATAACCTGTATTGCAACTTATTTTTAAAATAGGCAATTTGGTTTTGTCCAATGCTAGTACTATTCTGAGAGTAATGGATATGAGTAACCTCATTCTAGCCATTTTAGTAGGTCACCTCTGAGGAAAAGTCAGTTGGATATAATTCTCTGGGGGCAAAGTGTCAAAGTTTTGTTTGCTACTAAACTAAAGGCCGGTTTCCTTAAAAGGAAACAAGATGGGTTCAAATAGTTTGCTTTACTTCAGAAATTTTTAACGCTGTTTCTGATTCATTTTTTCCCTGAGACCTGTGTGTATAGGGTGGTATACAAATTTAATAAATGATAATAATTTTAGAGACCTTTGTATTACTCCCCCCTGAAATGAGTGTACACTGGTACCTTGGTTTAAGAACAGCTTAGTTTATGAACAACTTGGATTAAGAATGCTGCAAACCCAGAAGGAGGTGTTTCGGTTTGTGAACTTTGCCTTGGAATAAGAACATGTTTTGCTTCCTGTTGAGTGTGTTCCATTTGTAAATTGAGTCCTCCGCCACTATGGGAAAGCAAGCCTTGGTTTAAGAACACTTTGGTTTAAGAACGGACTTCCTGAACAGATTAAGTTCATAAACCAAGGTACCACTGTACATTTTACTCTTGTACAGTAGGCTGGTTTCTACACACACACACTTCTGTCTTCCATCGAGGCAAGCAAGAGGCATTATCAGACCTCCAAGGACATATTCCAGCCTGGCAAAAAGACTCAAGGAAGATACAAAGAAAGGCTGGTGAGGTGTGTGTCCTGGGGGGAGAGTCGTAGGGTTTGTATAGAAAGACTTGGATTTGGGTCCAGGCCTGAGATTCCCCATCCCTGTCATGGAGATGAATGAGATTGAATTTCCATTCACTTCAAGCAGACTTACACTAGTAAACTTGGCAAGGAATCCCCCACCCACTATATTTATTGATAATCTTGGAGCAGATATTTATTTTGCCTCCCCCCCCCCATGTTAGATGCTGAAATATCTTTAATGCTATCGTTGAACTCATGCTTGCAGAAAAAACAACCGCTCACCTACATTTTGGTTCTTCTGAAGTGCCATAAGAATAATAGTAATGATAAATTAAATGGTATCTTTATTTTCTTTCCCTGTTCCCTCCCAGCCTATTTATATCTTAGACATAGGCCAGGGTCTGCAAGCATTTGCATCAGTGTTTTGACACTGACAAAAACGCCACTTGAAAGGAAGCTATTGAGGCTCTAAAGGCATAATGCATCACAAAAAACTTTTTCTCCCCTTTGGGATATGACATGTACAAGTTAGTTTGATTTATATCTGTCAGCTAAGGAAGGAAGGAATCTAAAAGTTAGCATCACTTAAGAAGGAAAGGACAAAGGAAGAAGCAGAAGCAAGTAGAGATTTCTGAGTTCAAACTTGGCTTGTGCCACCAGGATAACAGTTTGCAAACATGATTGACCCTGTGTTTGGTAATTCAGTGTTGCTTTAAATTCCTGGGCAAAACCGACCCTAACATTGGGCAGAGTGAAGCAACTGCCTCAGGCAGCAAATGTCGGAGAGCAAGGAGTGGCTGTGAGGTTTTGGAGGAGAGTGTGCTCCAACATTTGTCACCTGAGGCGGTTGCCTCAGTCTGCCCAAGGCTAGGGCTGGCCTTGCCCTTTTGTAGCCTGCCCTACACTCTCAAAGCTAGCTTGCTGCCCCTATGGTAGTCAGTGTCGAAATTAGATTCAATTGCCGCTCTGGTTGGCTTCTGAACGAGGAATTTGGAGGGGATGGAATCAGGTCTTTTGCCTCAGGCATCAAAATGCCTTAGTCCACCCCTGTTTTGAGCGGCGAGGGGTGGGGGAGAACACTGGCCACACCTGAACTATACATTTAAAGCATTATGGTACCATTTTTAAAAGCCATTGCTTCCCCAAATCCTGGGAGCTGTAATTTGTTAAGGGTGCAAGAGTCCCCTGATTCCTTCTCTTCTCATAGAGCTACAATTTCCAGAGTGATTAAACAATCAACCTGGCTTCTCAGGGAAATCTAGGAATTATACCTCTGTGAGGAGAATAGGGGTTGCCTGGCAACTCATAGTGCCCTTTATAAACTACAGTTCCCAGGATTCTTTGGGGTGTGTTCAATGACTGTTTAAAGTTGTATGGCACTCCTTTAAATGTATGTTGCTGATGTGGCAACTCTTCCCTTGACTCTGTTTTATGTCTGCCCACCAATTAAAAGAGTACCCCCGCCAGCTGATTGTGTCTTGCTTTTAATCAATTAATTAACCAAGTTAAAGCAAACATTTCAGCAGCTCAGTAGCAGGGACGCTTGGAAGCCCTTTAATGAAGACAACAGTTCCTTATGGTTAAGCAGTAGAAGCAAATATTTGTTTCTGCTTAGAAGAGCATCATAAATGGCGGTCGGGCCGCAGCCACTTAGGCTGGCAAGATTATCAGGTTTCAAGGTTTTCCTTCAAGGTGCAAACACGGCCAGTTTCTAGTTCGGCCATCTTTGCATAAGGAAACATTTGTCAACTAAGTTTTCAGGTGTGAGGATGAGGAATAATAGACTACGACATGTGCCAAGGCCCTCCATCACATGGTTCTTCAAATCTAATGTAGACTTTGTATCCAAAGAACCACATCCATTTCAAAGGATGACTTTGTTTCAGTTAACATATCCCTAGTTCCGCCATCCCTATTTGTATCACACTCCGTCCTCCAATTGTGATGGTCCCTTTTTTCTCACTGTAGTACTAATAATGCCATTACAGACCTCACCAGTTGTCCTGTTTTATTGTGCATGTGTTCATGATGATATTGGGGCAATTACACGCAATCCCGGTTTCAATACTGTTGGCGGTCGACATACTACTTTGTGCGTGTCTTGTGGATTCCTGCTTTTTGCACACAAGTGTTTGTATTTTTGTTCACTTTTTGTTGCACTATAGAGAACATGAGGCGAGTCCTGCTGGATCAGGCCAGCAGCCCATCTAGTCCAGCATCCTGTTCTCACAGTGGCCAACCAGGTGCCCCTAGGGGAAATCCACAATCCTGAGCCCAAGAGTGTTCTCCTCACTGGTGGCTTCCAGCAACTGGTTTTCAGAATTATTACTGCCTCTGACCATGGAGGCAAAACATAATCAGCAGTAGCCGCCTCCACCATGAATTGTCCAGTTCTCTCTTAAAGCTATCCAAGTAGGTGGCCACCGCTGCTTCCTGTGGGAGCCCGTTCCGTAGTTTAACCTTGCCCTGCGCAAAGGACTGCTTTTTACCTGTGCAAGAGTGCCCCTCCAGATGGCAATACAGTGGTACCTCGGGTTAAGAACTTAATTCGTTCTGGAGGTCTGTTCTTAACCTGAAGCACCACTTTAGCTAATGGGGCCTCCCGCTGCCACCGCCGCTGCGCGATTTCTGTTCTCATCCTGAAGCAAAGTTCTTAACCCGAGGTACTATTTCTGGGTTAGCAGAGTTTGTAACCTGAAGCGTCTGTAACCTGAAGCATCTGTAACCCGAGGTACCACTGTACTGCAATAAGCATTGCGGAACAACTAACAAAGCGGATGTGTGGACAGTCCAGTGTAAATGCACCACTAATGCACCACTATTCCGACAGTATTTACATGTTGCAGAATGCACCTGCCAAAACCCACCAGTTTGGAGTGGTTTTACATCTTCATTTTATGTAGAGAAGCGTCTATTTCCCCCCCATTTGCCTGTCACCTGTGCAATAATAGCCAGGGACGTGTGCTTATTGCTGCATCCTTTACCCAGGCCTCCAGACAAGCACCTCTCCTTCCTCCCCCCCCACTCCCCCCGCCCCCCCTGTGTGTCTGAAGGATGCTCTATCTCTTTGTAATTACTGTTCTATCATTGTCTTGGCGTGGAAACATCTGGTCTCCCCAGCAATCTTCCACTTTTCTCCCATAGCCACTATTTCTTTTGAGGCTTTTCATGGATCATAATGACCTTCTCTTTTCCATAATGCCTCATGTGTCTCTCCTTGTGCACAGCTGTTTCTTCCACCTTTCCATCTCTTGCCATCCCCCTCGATATTTTCCCCATCAGCACCGTCCTCGTATTCACAATTTTTGCTCATCTGCTTATCAAATCGAGGCTGCCTCTCCTGTCGCTGGTCAGCGCAAGCCTGCCAGCGTCCCTTGCATCCTCCAAAATGAATCTTTCTCATTTCATCTCACGTCTTGAGGCCTTTGTTCTTCTGAATTAACATTTTAAAAAGTTAATCTTCACAACCTTTGTGTCTTTGTTATGTTGGACTTTCAATTCTCTTGTACCACCTCCTTTTTCCTTTGCAGTATCTTGAAGAAAATTTGAGGAAAAGGGAATAAATTCCTTCTCATTTACTTGGGTTTTTTAAAAATAAAAAAATAATAATTATCTGAGTTGTTTATTTTATTATTTATATCTTGCTTTTTTGTTTAATTAAAAGTACATCAAACAAAAATAATTTAAAAACAGTTCATCCATGCCCACAATAAAAATGGCAGCAGTTAAGCCATCCAAAAGTCAGAGTTTCATAAGAACAACCCCGGCCTCTCCCCAACAAACAGCAAAATTAAAATTGCAACCAGCAGATCTTGTGTCGAAAGGCAGCTGGGATATAAATGTATAGACTTACTGTCTAAAGAGCAGAAAAGAAGGAACTTTTCAGAAAGTTTGCTTGAAGGATTCCTTGAGGACTTTTCAGCCTCTTGATTTCATCAGCAAGCAAATGTTTACGAAAGCTTAGTCAAAGAGCCTAGTGAAAGTAGTGGCAGATGGAGAAGACTGTCTTGGCCTTGGCTTGCATTGGATGAAACCTCGCCCCAATCTGGCCTGCACTGTGAAGGAAAAGGGTTTGGGGGCAGGGCCCCCAAAGGTGTCTTGTGACCCTCCAGATGTTGTTTGACTCTAGTTCCCATCAGTCCCAGCCAGCAGGGCCATTGGTTAGGGATGGTGGGAGTTTTGGAGGACCGCAGGTTCCCTACCCCTGCTTTAGGCCCTCATCACGATACATCAGAAATTTGGGGAGACAGCTTAAAGATGAAGAACCCTCGGTGACCATCGGTGACAGCCACCACCGATGGAAGCAAAAGCACTGAAAAAGCTCAATATGGAGGCCAAATGGCCGAAATATTGGGAAATCTTGGAACAAGAGGGAGATAGACTGAAATTGCAGAGTTTTGAGAAACTAAAAATCTTTGTGCTAGTTTGGCTTCATTATTATCAGATAATGGAGGCATATAATTCGGTCAAGAAAATTGGCTTCCAGGTGGAAAAATCAAAATTAGAAACAGAACTGTTAGAACCCAAAACTAAGATTTTGTCAAAGATGTATAACTTGCTGTTGAAATGGAATACTCAGGATGAAACGGTGAAATCTGCTATGATTAAATGGGCACAAGATGTTGGACATAATATAATGATGGCTGACTGGGAACAGTTATGGACCACAGGTATGAAGTTTACGGCATGTAATGCCTTAAGAGAGAATATTATGAAAATGGTATACAGGTGGTACATGACTCCAGTCAAGCTTGCAAAAATCTATCATTTGCCTGATAATAAATGTTGGAAATGTAAAGAAACTGAAGGTACATTCTTTCACCTTTGGTGGACGTGCCCAAGGATTAAGGCTTTCTGGGAGATGATCTATAATGAATTGAAAAAAGTATTTAAATATACCTTCTTGAAGAAACCAGAGGCCTTTCTCCTGGGCATAGTCGGCCAATTGGTGCCAAAGAAGGATAGAACTTTTTATGTATGCCACAACAGCAGCAAGAATACTCATTGCAAAGTATTGGAAGACACAAGATCTACCCACTCTGGAAGAATGGCAGATGAAGGTGATTGACTATATGGAACTGGCGGAAATGACTGGCAGAATCCGGGACCAGGGAGAAGAGTCGGTGGAAGAAGATTGGAAGAAATTTAAAGACTATTTACAGAAATATTGTAAAATTAATGAATGTTAGAATGATGTTGGATAGAAATTAAGTGGTTTTTAGCTGCAATACTATAAGGGAATATGAAAAATGGATTACTAACAGGTAAAAATTTAATGTTACAATATTTTAAGATTAATGATTAGGATAGACAAAGAGGGGAAGGATTTGCTGAATCAACAAACCGAACTGGAATACAAAAAAGGGAGGCGTGAGGAGGTCTGGGAAACAAGCTAATGAAAAATAAGTAATGGAAAGATTGAGTTGTTTTTAACTATTTTTATTTTTTGTGTTTTTCTTTTTTCTATTTTTATTTTGTAATATTTTGAAAATCTTAATAAGTATCTTATATATATATAAAAAAAAGATGAAGAACCCTAAGAAAGGAGACCCCTGCAGGGGCCGTGAAGTTGCCCATCAACAGTTGGCATCTGAGCAGCAGACTGAGAAGACACACCTGGTCACCACAATGGTGAGAGATGTGTTTGTATGCAAATTTTGCTCATATGCAATTTTGCTTATATGCAAACCTATGCCCTCTCTTTTGGTGATGCTATTGCACATAGTTCCTACTCCCCCCCCCCCCGGCCCTGCACGATTTTATCCTTAACAACAGCTTTGAGAGGTAGTTCAGTCTGAGAGGGGTGGTTGGTGGCCGGGGTCTGTGCAAACACATGCATGGAATGGCAACGTTTTTAATAAGTCATTATTTTGTACTATAGTTGCGTGTCTCTTCTGCATTGGTCTCTACAGCCGCAGCAGGTTCTGTAACCTTCCAATGGTTTGACTTCACCCCCAAAGGCGCACTCCTCCATTGTCTCCTGAGACATACGCCAACAAAAATTGTAAAGAGTTTAGACTGTATTTGTAGATCTGTATACACAGGTGGGACTGCAAAATCATAGATTACAGAACATAGGAACATAAGGAAACTACCTTATACTGAGTCAGATCCTTGGTGTATCTAGGTTAGCATTGTCTACACTGGCTGGCAGCAGCTCTGCAGGGTTTCGGGCAGGGAGCCTCCCCTAGCCCTACCTGGATATACAATTGGGGATTGAACCAGGAGACTTAGGTATGCAAAGCAAATGCTCTAACTACTGAGCTACGGCCCCTTCTCTAAAATCTGTTAATCCCAAAAATCATCATTGCCGGTTCCCCCTACCCTTTGCCACTGTGACAAAAAAGACATAATCTTCTATTCTGTACTGTATTTCCGAATGTTTGTGTTTACCTAAAACAGCCTCCCTTCCTGGCCTACCTCGATAGGCCTGTTCTTGGAATGACTTTGCAGAAGTTTTGACACCTGGAGTGGATGATAGAGAAATGATTATTTATATGTTGCTGCGTTGAGGTGGGGAGCAGGAGGAGAGAGAAGGGGAGGGGATGCTTTGGGTGGGAACAGAGAAGAGGATTAATGAATCATGCAATAATTTTTCAGATGCAGGATGGTGGCGGGGGGGGGGGGGAGAACACAATCCCTACATACATCATGTTTTCACCCCCTTATCGGGGGTATCACATTTATGAAGAAATAGCTTTGGTGTTTTGTTTTTTGCATGCGCGTACCCTTTTTATAAGGGGAGCATATTTATATATAAATAGGGCTGTAAAAATCGTAGATTAAGGAATCTATTCATCCAAAAAAGAGTTATGTGCCTGTCACGCTGCATAATGGCTGCCTGTTTCAGGGAGAAAAATGTCTCTTTACGGAGACACACTGAGTACCACATGGCTGCAAGTTGGCCAAGGTTTTCTAACCAATGGTGAGTTGGCTTGCCTGGAAGCATCTTGTGGAAATGCGTAAAAGGCAGGGCATAGCAGCAGGGTGGGAAAATAGATGCAGGGCGATGGGGATGCAGACCTCCCTGCGCCTCTCTTGGAATGAGAATAATGCTATAGCACCAGAGAGTTATGGACATCTTTAAAGCAGCCAGATTTCAACCTGGAGTTCCTGTCTAATATGCAGGGACACCCACTGAGAGGGGGAGATAATTTCCCCATCCCAGGTTTCAGACTGTGCAAGACATATACACGAGATGCAGAAGGGTTGTAGTGCAGTGGCAGAACACCCCCCTTTGCATGCAGAAGGTACCGTGTTCTCCAGGTAGGTCTGCTTGAAGCCCTGGAGAGATGTTGCCAGTTAGTATGGGCTAGTGGGAAAAATGCTCTGACTTTGCATACGGAACCTCCCTATGTTCTGCGTGACCGATTATTATGCAGTATAAAAAGTAATTAGTTGCGTATCGTTTGCAAACTGAAAACATCAAAAACAGTGGATACCGATTGTCTTTGCTGGACTGCTTTCTGTTCTGGACATGGAGCAAATAAGTTAACGCCAGCCAATTTCTATTCCTTTTTCTGTTTCTGTTGGAATTCCCTGACATCCCGAATAGTACCCAAGGCCAGTCAAGGTATTTTGGCGCCTGGAACAGAACGCAGGTGCCTCTTCTCCCTGGCAGTAAAAATGCAACAGTAATCAATTAATTGAAGAAACATTTGCTGTTTTTTAAAATGATGCCTGAAATCAGTTGCCTGAAGTAGCCACCTCAACCCGCATAGGGAATTGTCCTGCACTTTAAAGGTAAAGGGACCCCTGACCATTAGGTCCAGTCGTGGCCGACTCTGGGGTTGCGGCGCTCATCTCACTTTATTGGCCGAGGGAGCTGGCGTACAGCTTCCGGTTCACGTGGCCAGCATGACTAAGCCACTTCTGGCGAACCAGAGCAGCGCACAGAAATGCCGTTTACCTTCCCGCTGGAGCGGTACCTATTTATCTACTTGCACTTTGATGTGCTTTTGAACTGCTAGGTTGGCAGGAGCAGGGACCGAGCAACGGGAGCTCACCCCGTCACGGGGATTTGAACCGCCAACCTTCTGATCAGCAAGTCCTAGGCTCTGTGGTTTAACCCTCAGCGCCACCCGCGTCCCTCCATCCTGCACTGTACCTCTCCCTAAATGGTTGGACCAGCTAGACCTGAGGTCCTAACTGATCAACAGGCAGAAGATGATTGCACCTGATTGAATGAGTTATTCACTATACTAAGCAGGTAACATTTTGTTATCTGGTCCTTGACGTTTTCAGAACCGTATCTCCCAAATTTCACTCCTGTCCTGTTTTTATCCTTCATTCCATGTGATTTCCTTCTCCAAGCCTTTTCCCATCTCCCAACGATGCATCAGAAACCGCAGAATGTTCATCTCCCCGGTACTTGTATTTTAATAAGCAAAAGCCACATCAGCCCAGCCAATTTTGCAATTCAGCACATTATTGCAATTTGAACGACAGAGGTATAAAAATGATTGGCAATCTGGCATTCCACTACATCTTGGGCCACCTGCTTCCTGTTGCATTGTAACATATTTTTCCTTAAAAATGAGAAATGTGTGTATATATTTACCTTTATCACTTTGCTGGGAGCAGCTATTTCATCATCACCTTTGACTTGCAGATTCCACAAACTCAAAATGGCAAGTCCTTGTCGCTCCTGATGGACACTTCGTCTTCTTCTTTTTTGCTTCCTACTGAAAAGAAGTCATTAACTGTTTCAAAATACATAATGTGCTGGTGGTTGCTTGGCTTAAACTCCAGCCAAATAACCCTGCATTTTACTAGTCTTGCAAATTCTCTTTTTGGGAGAGCAACTCCCCCCTCCCCAGTTGATAAAATAAATAAGACAGCCCCTTAGGGTTGTATCCAGCAAAGTTCTGCTCATAATAAAACCACAGAAATGAATGAGCCTAAAATAGTCTTGTTGGTTTAAATTAAATTAAATTTATTTAAAAGGCTTTTTTAATATACTGCTGTCTCATGAAACAGCAACATTAAAAAAGCATTTTTTTAAAATACAGAATAATAATCAAAATGACTGGCTAATCAAGAACATTTTATGCAACTGCACAGGCCTGTCTTCAAGAGAGACTGGAAAGCCAAAATCCAGGGTGCCTACCAAATCTATGCTGAAAGAGTGTTCCATTGCACGAGACCAGCAACTGCAGATATCTGGCTTCTGGTTGAGGCCAGTTGGGCCTCTATAACACAGGGGACAACTAAGAGCACTCCTCCAGATGATCTTAGTGATCAACCTGGGGCTCAGGTGGTCCTTCAGGTTTCCTGGACCAAAGTTGTTCAGGGCTTTGTGTATTAACACATAAACTTTGAACCTGGCCCCATAGCAGGTAGGCAGCTAGTGCAAAGCCATTGCCACTCACTGTCAACAATAATGATGCAGAGGTGTATTGTTCCAGAGTCCTGGGGTTTTTAGACTTCTTACTGTTTCTACAGTAGGGTCCCAGCAGGGAGCCTGCCTCCTGCCTCCTAGAGCCACCCAATCTGCATGAAAGGTGATCATTTCAGACACAGAAAAGGAGTCTTCCCACCCTCTGTGCCGATTGGAGCCAATCGGAGTGAAAGTAGGTGAGTTGGATACTGAGGATGGGCTCCTAGAGTCACTCTGGCAGAGGCATGAGAGTAGAACACCAAGAAGGAGTTGTTCTCCCTGCTTCAGAGCTAAACGTTTAGGGACACTGAAAGCACAAGGTCATTCCAAGATGACGGTGTGTAATTTCTATTATGTACGATGGGACTTCAAAGAAAACGCAACTGAAGTCACTCCAAAATAAGATATTGGAGCTCTTCAAATAATCTGCTTGTTTGCACAGAAGACAGAAGATATAGTTGAAAGGTAACACACACAGATCTGTGTTGATCACTACAATGCACCACTAATTATACAATATTCTTATAAAATAATTATAATCTTAGAAGTGGTAGTGGTTGTGACAGTGTGTGGCTGGACTTTCATGAATGGAACCTGCATTTCTGAATTTGTCACACTACTGGCTAGATGATGCCAGTGGTGTCCCGATAACATCATGAGCACTGATCATGAATGCACAATACAAAGCACATGCCTGTTTCCTTCTGAACCACGAAACTAACAAGCTGCAGAACCAACTGGGAGTGGAAGGTTAGTTGAAATCCTCCTGCATTGTCTCTCTGGTTGCCTCCTGGCGTAATCCAAGCCCTTTGGCCTCCCTCCACCTGCGGAAGGGATTAGAAGCTTCCTAACATCCTCAGAAAAGCTTAAGTGTTCCTGTTTTAGCCTGGGAACAGTTCTTGATGAGGAGCTGCCTCACGGCAGTTGTGCCAGATTTAAGTACTGATGGAGTTTACTGCCTTATTTCTTCTGCAAGTCTGGTCATTCGGGGTTTGCTCTCTTCTTCTTTCTTTCAGTCTTTCATACCTGGTGCTGGCAGGATGTGGAGGCAAAACTTTTGACTATTTTTCAGGCAGAGCCAGAAATGCTTTTAGTCTGTTATAAATGTCAAAGTTGAAAGGGAGTTGCCAAACTCTTCTTTTAGAAGTTAGAATTGTGACAATATTATAGAGTAGAATTTAGTTTTGTTCCCACTCCCAGAAACATGAATTGAACACAATAACCTGTTCCTATGGTGGCAAAGCATTTTAGTGCAGTTATTTTTGCAAACCAATTTTCCATTACATCCTTTTTTTGGTTTGTAATCTTCACTAATATATATATTTTAATGCATATTTTACCCTAATGTACACATTTAGTACACTATACTTGACTTACATTCCTGGAGAACTGCATTACAACATTTTGATAATTTCAAAATACAATTGATGGCTGTGTTTCAGTTCTTGGAAAGGGTGAATAACGTAGGTTTGCCTTTAAAGGTGAACTGGATTGAATTTCTTCCCATCCCTAGTTCTTTTGGGTGACTGGATGGGTATGTGCTGCAGAGCTGTATTCCAATGCTCCAGCCATCTGCCATTTTCATTTTTCCAGAATGCCTCTGGACTGGCGTGACCACTGTCAATTGCTTCTTGCTGTCCAGCATCCTTTTTGCCCTCCACTCCCCCAGGCTGTGGGTTCACCAACTCTGATCCCAAAGTTCACATTTAATGGTACCACTATTGCAAATATTAATATTGCACAGCTTGAAGCAAATGGATGAATAAAAGCAGACTCCTTTTGGACTCCAGCCCTGTAAGTATTGTTCAAAATTTTACTTGCAGAACTTCCTTCTAAACAGAACATCAACGATAGTGATACATCCAAAATAGTTGTTTACGTGCATGTCCAGCACAGGCTCAGCGTCTTACAAAATATGCAATAATTCCAATAGACCAAAAATGAGAGGTCTGTCTCTCCACTAGCCTGCAATACAGCCTAAGGCTGTGCCACCTATTGAGAGCCATTATCTCATCCTTTTGTTCTCTGTGGCATCCAGAGAAAGACTTTCAGGCAACTCCCTTTATGATGGCAATTTGCAGCTGAATACTTTAATCATGTGGTATAAGGTTAAACACTCACATGTTAGAGAAGAGAACATTCTCAGCTAATCATTAACTTAGTTAAAGCTCAGAGAGCTCTTAATATGCTGCCATAAAGAATCCCCAATGTTAGCAGTACACACCCAGGCATTGTCTATTTCAGTGTCAATTGAACAATTATACTTAACAACCACTGTATGTATTCTTAAATCCAGTTCAGTGAACACCAGTGTGTGGCCTGGTCTCTTGTGTAAAAAGAATGGAGATTAGATTTCTGTTCTGCTGCTGTTCACCTTCTGTCAAAAACCATGTTATTCGTCCTACTCTCCACTGTCACAAAGTTATAGAACTTACATTATTTATGTTATTAATAATGTCAATTACCGTATTTTTCGCCCTATAGGACGCGCCGGCCCATAGGACGCACCTAGATTTTTTTGGGGGGGGGAATAAAGGGGAAAAAAATTATCCCCCCCCAGGCGCGGGGCTGGGGAAGCCCGAGCTTCCCCCGACCCTAGCCCCCAGAACGGGTCCCAGAGCGATGCCGAAGCTGCGCGCAGCTTCAGCATCGCTCTGGGAGCTTGCGCAACCTTCGGGAGCCCGGCGCGGCTTCGCGCTGGGCTCCGGAGGGTTGTGCGGAGCTGCGCCAAGCCTGGGAGCGCAGACAGCTCTGTGCAACCTTTGGAAGCCCGGCGCCGGGCTCCGGAGGGTTGCGCAGAGCTTCCTGAAGCCTGGAGAGCGAGAGGGTTCGGTGCGCACCGACCCCTCTCGCTCTCCAGGCTTCAGCGAAAGCCTGTATTTGCCCCATAGGACGCACACACATTTTCCCTTCATTTTTGGAGGGGAAAAAGTGCGTCCTATAGGGCGAAAAATATGGTACATTATTCCATCCCATTCATTTCAGTGCAAAGGAAACAATGCTAATGGGGGGAACATAATTGCTTTTCGTTTGCAGAGTAAAAGTAATAACAACACTGAATGCCGATTGTATTCACCGGATTGATGAATAAGCAAACACCAGCAATTTGCCCTCCATTTTTGTCTGAATTTTCTGACATCCCTAGTTATAAAAAACTCTTCCGTTAGATTTCTCAAACAGATTAAACCTAAAGTGGGACATCAGCTTTGTCTGTTTACCCTGATGAGAGGAAGGGAGGAGAGACGCAGAAATTCTACTGATGCCAAGTCAAGCCTGGACTTCAGCAGGCTTGAAATATGTCCTTCCTACAGGTGGGGAAAATACATTCTCACCAGACACATTTGGCTTTAAAGCCCCAAAACAGATGAGAAGTGATAGCACCCCACAAAGGCTCACTATAACACAAGTCTTCTTTACACAATATCCTTCATTCTGAGAGTGAGAGGGAAGGAGATGAAGAGAATCATATGGCTTGGCTGGAAAAGGCTTGACTTTTGAGAAAAGAGTTATACTCTCAAGTTCATAGCCTCACATCCTGATTCCAGTTCAGTAGCAACGAATGTGGGCAAATAGGTCAATTCTGGTTTCTCATTCTTCCACTCTTAGTTCCGTTCTCCACATATCCATATAATGTCATAAGAATTTAGCAGCATTTCAGTGCCGATTTCTCCTAATACTGTATAGAAATCTTTGGAGGCAGTTTTGCCAAAATACAATTTTTTTGCAAAGTAGATTTTCCCTACCGTAATTCATTTTGTATGGTATTTTAACTGACATATGTTTTTATATTCACACTTTACACTTAGCATATGTGTATTTGTTGTTGTATGTGTTACTTGGCTGAAGAACTGCAGCTCAAAAGTGTGAATTGTTTCAGTTCACGTCAAATAAGTTCAAATTAGGTAGTCGAAATAGACAGTTGGATTTCTCCCACATCCCTAGCAATGAGTGGGTGGTCAGGGTTCTTGTGTAAACAGAATTGGGGGAGGTTCAGTCATATTACCTCAGAAAACTCTGTGGTGATCCTGGAACTGCCATTAATGGAATCTCTCCCCAGCTGAACCTAAAATATTCCAGTCAATTTAATTGGATGAGAGGCAGAGACAGAAATAAACGCTTCTTCTTGCTTAGAGCACCAGTACAAAAGAGGCTCTTCATGTCACATCCCACACTCCCTTTCTTTCTTTGGGTGGTTCTTCATCATTCTGTCCCTCACGCCCACTTGGAAATTCTGGAAGAATCCCTGATGAAGACTTCCATCGACCCACATCCATAGAAACCCGCTTTGCAGCACTGTCATCGTGAGGCGGCTCAAGTCTGGGATATGACACTAAGCACTTCTTTGAACCTGTGGAATGGGCAAACAAATTAAGCCTAAAATAATTACCCAGGTATGAGAGAAAAAGTGAGAGACGTAAAGGTCGTTTTTTACCTGGAGC